GATTTTTGCTTTTCTACAATGAGAGTACAACACACGCAATTTGAAAGACTCAAAGACAGCAAAGGGGTGTTAAAGGGAGGCGACCCCGCTTGGATCCCAGCCCCGGGTCCTGCCACAGCCCCCGCCCGCCCTCCCCTTGGGGACGTACCTGAGGGCTGCACCCAGTGACTGCACTGTCCCACGAGGGCCTCCGGGGAATTAAGGAACCTGGCGGGACAGAGGTACATGCGAAGGTCTTTCGGGGAAGGGAGAGCAAACCTTTGAGACAAAACGTCCCATCGCCATACAGCAGACTCCTGTCATCCGCGGCAGCGATGGCCCACAGGGTGGCCGCGAACACAGAACGAGCACGTTCCGAATCTGCTTTGAGGGGAAACACAGCATTACGTTCCCAGGAGCCTCTGGTCACGACATTCTCATCGACCGATCGATGCTGCATCACCTTGTTTTACGGGTTAAACCCACCTCATTTATATCGCGTGGATTTGCTCACATCGAGCTCGCTGCGCCCGAAGGAAGCTCATCTAGCTCACACACGTGCTTCCTCTGTGAAGCACGTCCCCGCCTCCCTGCACTGAGGAGCACGAGACGGCACCTCAGCGCTACGCTTGGGGCCCCTCTGAACAGCGAAACCACCAACGGGACGCACATGAAGGTGGAAAATGTGGCGCTGAACAAGCCACGTGCAGGGCGCTGGTGCACGGAGTGGGAGCAGAGCGGCGCTGTGTCCGACCTCAGCTGGGATCACGGCTCAGGAAGGTGACTCCACACTGTCTCCGCTCTGAGCCCTGGCCGGTGTGGCTCGGGTTGGGCACTGCCCCGGAAACCAAAGGTTGCTGGTTGACTCCTCTCCAGGGCACATACCCAGGTTGTGGGTTTGATCCCTGGTTGGGGTGCATGCAGGAGGCAACCAATTGGTTTCTCTCTCACATTGATTTTTCTCTCTCTCCCTCTCCCTTCCTCTCTCTCTGAAAATCACTAAAAACACATAAAAAATGTTTTTCCTCCGCACTGCGTGTGTCTGAGAACAACCACGACAACACTGCAAGGTTTGATTTTGGAGTTACAAATACATTTTAGTGAACGTGCAAATTCACAAATACGGAATCTGTGAATAACGAAGATTGACTATTCACACACAAATATTTGTACACATATACATGTATAAACAACACCCCCCCCCCCTCGGACCACTCGGGAAAAATGGAAATTCACCCCCGTCCTGTGCTCCACGCTGAGCCCAGCGCACTGTACCTTCACTGGCCTGGACCACTGGCTGGCTCCCCAGTGTGCACCCGGCCACTGGGCGCTGCCCTCCCTTCCCCCACGGCCCAGAAGTCCCCAAGCCCCCCTCTGTGCATGGCTCTGGGCTCGGCTCAGGCCTCATCCTCTCCCCGGACCTCAGCCTCCTCCCCAGCCTCCTGTGCATGGCCCCAGAGTCTTTCTACACCCAGGGCTGCCCCTGCCCCTCCCAGCTCACAGCCCTCCTGGGCTCCCCAGGAAAAGCCCCTGGCACGTATGCCAGCTCCCCTGGCCTTGTCTCACTGACTGCCTCCCTCCATCTCATGCTCCAGCCATACCAAACTTTACATATATAGATTTATTGCTGACAGTATTACAGATGCCCCCCAAGCAGCTAGTCCCCCAAACGGCTCAAACATCCACCTGCATCTTCTGGTCTCTGCACAAAATGCTCCCTCTGCCCTGGACGGCCTTTCCCCGCCCTGACCCCACTCAGTGGCTGCTCCCCCTTCGGGACACAGCTCAAGGGCTGGTCTCAGGGAAGCTTCACACCCCCCGCTCCCCACCCAGGCAGAGGAAGCTGATTCCTCCTGAATGTCAGGGCACCCTCTGCACAGGTCCACGGATGCCCTAGAGCAGCTGGCAGGGTACGTGTACAGGAAGGGCTGGGTCTGACCCCTTTCTCCCGCAGCCGCAGGATGTGTGGTGAATGAAGGAAGGAGGCGGTGAGCGATGGCCCGAAAAGCACTCCTCCCCACAACAGGCTGTTGCTGTCAGTGTCCCTGGGGCTTTCCTGCCCGGTTGGCAGCCTCAAGAGCAGGGACCAAACCTGAGTCCTATCTGTGTTTTCCCAGCTGGAGCTTCACGCACCGAAAGCCTTGGGCGTCACACTGTCCCTTCTAGTCATTCATTCTGTCATGAACTGGGAGGCACAAGAAAATGAATCAATATTTGTTGAATGAATGGGAAAAGGCCACACACACCAGTAAGAAGTCCTCGAGAAGTGAGGGTTCCAGGAAACCTGCACGTGCCAACATCGCCCCCTCGTGGTTCTTTCGGTGACTGCGGGGTCCAGGATGACAGCTATGTTACCGCCCACCTCTCTCCAGGGAGCATCTTTTCATGCCTGGCCCTCCCTTTGTGGCTGTGGTTGAGACCTGGGGCTCTAGAATGAACTGTTGTTCATATTGAGATCATCAATATGAAAATGATTACTAGGACCACCCTGGCCAGGTGGCTCAGGTGGTTGGAGCATCATCCCATACACCGAAGAGTCTCAGGTTCGATTCCCGGTCAGGGCACATGCCTAGGTTGTGGGTTTGATCCTCAGTCAGGGTGTGTACAGAAGGCAACTATTGATGTTTCTCTCTCTCTCCCTTACCCTTTCTCTAAAATCAATACCCCCCCCCCAACATATGTCCTTGGGTGAGAATAAATAAAAGATAAGATCTAATTATTACTGAGACCTATTTCATTTACTCTGCATCAACGTGGCGACTGCAGAGCCTCTTAGCGAGGCACTGAGTCATCAATGATCTCTGGTGAAGGGGAAGGTGGGAGAGACATAAAATGGGAGATATGACTGTTCTGAGGAGTCAGGGGAAGCAGAGGGAGAGAGGATTCAGCTCAGGGCAGCCTCAGCAGGTGGTTTCGCTGAAGACAGGAGGTCCGCCCGGCTGATTCCCAGCATTCCCAGCCCCGGGGCTGGCACACAGATGCCCTGGGAAAACAGGGTCTTGAATGAATGGGTGAATGAAGAAGGCAGGTATGTGCCACCCTGTTTGCCTGGAGACCCCGTTCCCCCTGCCTGCCTGGGAAACAGCTCTGCTCTCTGCAGACGGAGTCAGGTACCTTTTGGGTACAGGCTCCTCCCGGCCCAAGGCCAGGTCACGTGCCTCCCTCTGCTCCCACAATGCCCTGGGGGCTGCCGCCACATCACATGCAGAGTCTGCTTCCTGCCCGAGCGTCCCCTCCAGCACGGGAACCCCTGCAGGGCGGGGGCACGTCTGCCTGACCTGTGTGTCTACACAGAAGCCCAGGCCTGGGGATGAAGGCTCACGTATGCATTCCACAACTCTTGCGTGAGCGCTCACACAGGCCAAGCACTGCGCTGTGAACAGCAGGGCGGTGAAGACAGCGGATGTGGCCCCTGCCCTCGCGGACATTTGACTCACGATGGCCCCGCGGAGGGCCTGCTCCCTGCCCCCATGTCATCTCCCCTCTTTGAAGGCAGAATCCCAAGGGTCAGCCGCCACAGGCAGAGACCCTTCCCCAGCCCATTGCAGCACAGGGTGGCCAAGAGTCACGTATCATTTCTGGTCCCGCCCTTTAAAGTAATGGGAGCCCTGGCCAGTGTGGCTCAGCGGATAGAGCGTCGGCCTGCAGACAGAGGGTCCCGGGATTGATGTCGGTCAAGGGCACATGCCCGGGCTGGATCCCCAGTGTGGGGCATGCATGGGCAGCCGATCAATGATTCTCTCTCATCACTGATGTTTCTCTCTCTCTCTCTCTCTCTCTCTCTCCCTCTACCTTCCTCTCTGAAATCAATAAAAAAAAATATATTTAAAAAATAAAAGTAATGGGAGACCATGGCCACAGAGCCAGTGCCCAGAGGATGTGGGCTGAGGGGCTGAGGCACCCACCGCCTTGTTCTCCCCTTAGGACTTTTAGCCAGAGGGAAGCCAACGTCCACCTCATCTCAGCCACCGTGTTTTGGGGTCTCCTTGTCCCTGAGTAACACCACAGAGAGGTAAAGGGGCAGGTCGCGAACTTCGGTCTCACTGAGCGCTTAGCCCCCAGGCAGGACGCCCGCTGCCTGTGTTACTCACTCTGACTCGTTTTCACCTGGCTTCCCTTCAACAAGGAGAAACTAGAAAACAAGTGTGACAATGAATCCCCAGGGAGCAGGCAGTGGCCCAGGCTCTGCAGAGGTTGCGAGTGGAAGCCTGGGAGTGAAGGCCTCTCCCCGCCGTCTCCCCCTCCTCCCTTCCGCAGAGACGTCAGGGCCTGTCAGCACCACAGTGAGAGCTCCTTGCCTCACCGCCCTTCTGGGAGGGACTGACCTGTCGCCTTTGCCATGAGACCCGCCGGGGCCGTCAAATCTAAAAGAGCGGCACATGCCCACTCCCTGACGGCCCCACTGGGGCCCCCAGGCTCTGACCTGACCACCCCCCAGTCGGACCTCTGTGTTTCACTCTTTATCTCTTCACCGTCTCTCCCGCCAACAGGTGTGAGTTCCCAGGGCCAGGGGTGTGTGCCTTATCATCCTGTGCCCGGGGCCTAGAATGGAGCCTGGAGCGTAGCAGGTGCTCATGTGCGCAGGGGAGGAAGGCCGTGTGCAAACACCACCAGTCCACCCAAGATGAGCCCGCACACTCGGGAGAGACACTGGCTTTGGGGGGAAAGGGTCTTCTCTGGGTGTGAGTCTAGCGCCTCTGCCTGGAGGCTGTGTGACCTGGCTGGTTGCCTAAGCTCCCTGTGTCTCAGCTGCACTTACTTCAGACCTGTCCTGATGACGACGCAGAGACGCACCGGGCACAGTGCCTGGTGCAGACAAGGGCATGGTACACGTTAGCCTTCAACAGGCCTTTACGAGCAGGCCAGTGTGACCGGGGCACGTCCCTCCCTCTGGGCGTGCACAAGCAGGAGACCTGAGGGGGGAAGGGAAGGGCTCCCTGGGGAGTGACGGTGAAGCTGGAACCTGAAGGAGGATGAGATTCAGGGCTCGGGACCATTGATGACAAACACACACCCAACAACACCGTGAATATATTTCAGGGACACAGATACATTTAAGCAGACAAACGTAGAAGTACTCAGAGGTGGTGAACTAGCAATGTCGCTGAAAGTTACAACCTACAGCAGCGAGGGGAAGAGAGCAAGAAACAATGACATTTAGAGCCGAGTACGGCTTCTGCAAACAAAATACTCTCATCAGACACTGTTCAAGGACGCAGACATGTCTATACAAACTTTCAGTGAACTCAACGCACATGTCATGATGAGACTAAAGTTGAAGGACACAGTACTGAGTGAAAAAAGCCAGAAACAGACGAGATTTAGAGAATACCATTTATGCGAGTCAAACACACACAGTACCACGATCACCGTGCAAGGTTAAGGGCACAAATACATTTAAGCAGGCGTTTCAGCAGAACGTGTGTTAAGCATGTTTGAGGGGTGTCCATGGCTGAGAGGAGGAAGATGGGGGACATAAAACGGCAAAGTGAAACGAGAGGCTCACGATGAACCGGCGGCACAGCACACCGAGAACTGAGAAGCACCACGGACCCAGTGCTGCTCACTGGGGAGTTTTCCCGCTTCCCGCTCAGCACCTGTCGCAGGGCTTCTGCTGACAATTCCCGAGATACCTGAGGTCTGGGCCTCCGTTCAGACTTCATTTCTGCACTGCAGACATCGACAGCCAACGTCTCCTGGATGACCCCTCCTGGATGATTCCTGGGCAACTCAGCCCCCAAGTCTATACCAGGTTTTGAGTCCCAGCCTCTGTACCTGCAGCACTTCCTGTGTCCAGCTGTCCGCTGACTGTCCTTGGTGCTGAGGACCACAGCCCCCTTTGCTCACTTCCCTGAGCCCAGATGGCCTGTCCGTGGTGCTGAACCCCACACGCAGCACGTTCCTACTTTCCTTTGCAAACAGGTGCCTCTGTCTTTGGTGCTGAACCTCATACCCCAGCACTTCCTTTTGCAGCCAAACAGGGCACTGTCCTTGGTACTGAATGTCTTTAAAAAAAACGGAACTAGCAGGATCTGGTGGTTTTGTATGCTGAGGGGAGGAGGGAAAGTGTGAAGACAAACAATAGATCCAGAGACATTGAAGCATGAAACAGATTGATGTACTTCAGAGGGAGGGAGGGGGCGCAGAGAGATTAACCAAAGAACTTATATGCATCCTATATAATAAAAGCCTAATATGCGAATTGTCCCCTCAACCAGGAGTTCGACTGGGAGTTTGACCAGGGGGTGGGGCCAGCTGGCCAACCGCCCATGGTCCCTCCCCCTGGCTGGCCCCATCCCCAATTGGCCGGACCCCCCATCGGGGCAGGCCGGTGGACCCTACCCCTGCACGGATTCGTGAACCGGGCCTCTAGTATATGTATAACCCATGGACAGACAATAGTGCGGTAAAGGCCTGGGGAGAGGGTGGGAGGGGGGTAGAAGAAGTCAGTGGAGGGGAGAAAGGGGACATCTGTAATACTTTCAACAATAAAGATTAATTTTAAAAAATGAACATGGGTGGCTGGTGTTATCTGATGCTGAGGCAGGGCCCAGACCTAACTGCTCAGGCAGCCCACATGGCTGGGAAGGAATGAATGAGTCATGGTGTCCGGGTGACGGTGACATTTTCCACAGGCCAGGCTCTGCTGAGTGCTGTGTGCCTGACTCCCCCGAATCCTTCCACAGCCCCCTGCAGTGGGTGCCAACAGGACCCCATCTCACTGAGGACACTGAGGCTCGCCATGGTGTGGCCGGAGTCTGACCCAGGCAGCGTGGCTCCAAAACCCACGCTCTGACTGCGGGGACAGACGGCAGGGCCTTGGCTCTGCTGGACGGTGCCTCCCCTAATCTGTTCATTGGGTTCGGAGCGTCTGCCCCAGCTGCAGGGGTGCTGGGCCCGTGCTGGACTCTGCTGACCCCAGACTCACCTCTGTTTCAGCTTCATGACATCCTCGATGTTGGGAAGGGATTTTGTCCACGGCAGGTTTCCGTAGAGCCACTTCAGCAAACAGTAGCCCAGGGCCTGGAGGTCGCTGCGGCGGGAGGGCCCTGGGGAGGGAGGGAAAGAGGAGGCAGCTCAGGCTGGATGCTCCACTCACTCCACGTCCACCCCTTTCCTTTCTCCCTCTCACTGACTCAACCATGTACTCACACACCCAACCACCCAAACATAGCGGCTCCGTCTGTTCATCCACTCTTCGTTCTCCTACTCACGTTATTGAGCCTGTTACTCTCATTCGCGCTCTCACCATCCCTTCATCCCGCACTCACTAGCTCCCTCCCCATCTACTCTCTTTGGTTCATGCACCCATGCATTCAATGAGCCCACAGAGCCCCGTGCGCCAGGCCCCATCCAATTTCTCAAATTCAAGACGAGAGTTTGGTTGGGTGCCAGTCCTTCAGTCTAGTGGGGGCGGTGGCTATATCGTGGGATGGCCTGAGCTACAGAAGACACACAACAGGGCATGAGGGAGCCCAGGAGGGTGGACACTGAACACCGCCTCAGTAGGGGAGTGAAGACCATTGGGTTTTATTTTTCTTACGCAGCCTAATGTCACGATTTAGACAATTCGTGTAAGCACTCCACAAACACAGAGCTGACTGTGCCAGGCCTTCCTGGGTGAGCTCAGAGCCCCGTCTGGGGGAGGACGCAGGCTGGCCCACCGATGGCCACGGTATCACGGGATCCGGGAAAGAGGGGCTGAGACCTCCTCACGGAATCTGCCCTGGGCTCTCTGCTCACTCTGTACACTTCCCGTGGGTAACCTCATTCCTCTCCCAGGGCTTCCGCTGACAACTCCTGAGATCCTGTCGACATCTGAGTCTCTGCCCACAGTTCAGTCCTGCGTTTCAGACACAGATAGCCAACTGCTTGCTCAGCAGCTCTCCTGGAGGACTCTGGGGCAACTCTCGTGTTCCAAGTCCACACCAGATCCTGAATGGGAACCTCGCGAACTGTCAGGCTTCCTCGTGCCCAGAAGCCCCCTGTCCTTGGTGCTGAACCACTACCCACAACTTCCTAATGCTTGGGGGACACCATTCTTTTTTAAATTTTTATTGTTGAAAGTATTACAGATGTCCCCTCCCGCCCACTGACCCCAGTGTCTGGTCATCTGCTGTCTGTGGCTGTGAAAACCCAGAGCTGCTCTCGTATGAAAAACATGTCTCCACAGCCCTAAACCCTTTCCCTGGCCGCTTACCGCATCCCTTGTGCAGGTCCATGCTAATGAACTCCAGGTCCCCCTCGTGTGGGCTCCGGCTGCCTTCCTTGTAGGCCACGTGCTCGCCGCCTGGGGAGTAGCGGAAGGCAAAGGCATAGCCTGCCAGGGTCACCTGTGTGGGCGAGGGGAGAAGCCATACAGTTTGGAGGTTGGGAGCGCGGACTCTGGAATTAGACATTTCAATCGTGGGTGTAATCTGAAACCGCCACATGCCCGACAAAGGAGTGTGAAGTGAAAAGAACCCCAACCAACTATCCCTGTTGCAACACAGCCCCCTAAACCCACTGCCCAGAAGTAACCACTAATCAGTTTTTTATTGTTTCAAATCATTTTTTTTGTTTTGTTTGCTTTTTGTTAATCCTCACCTGAGGATATTTTTTTCCATTGATTTTTAGAGAGAGAATGGAAGGGCAGGGCAGGGCAGGGAGAGAGAGAGAGAGAGAGAGAGAGAGAGAGAGAGAGAGAGAGAGAGAAACAGAAACATGTCAATTGGTTGCCTCCTGCAAGTGCCCTGACTGGGGCTGGGCATTGAACCTGCAAGCCAGGTATGTGGCCTTGACCGGGAATGGAACCTGTGAACCTTTGGTGTGTGGGCCAATGCTCCAAACACTGAGCAACACCGGCCAAGGCTCAGACAGTTTTCGTCATGTAACTGGTAAACACGTGGACGGGGCAGGGCCCTAGCTTTCCGCAGAGGGATCACGCTATGCCTCTAGTTGGATATCCAGCTTTTTGCACGTTCACGGTGGTTCAGGGCATGAACCCTGGGGCCAGACAGATAATTCAGATGCCAGCTTGGCCCTGAGTGGCTGCACAGCCTGGGAAAGTTATGTAATTTCCTGTGCTTTGATGTCTCCATTTGTAAAATGAAGACAATGACAGTCTCTGCCTTGCAGGGTTGTCATGAGGCTTCACTGAGTTGAAAACAAAAAGTAAAGTGCTGATCAGCCAGCCCACAGCCAGCCCGTCTGCGTTTAACGGCTCATTGTATTCTGCCCTTTGGACAGTGGACAACTGCTGGTTTAGCACGAGAGAGCGAGCAACGTCCTTTCCTTCTGGTCACAGTTGGTGATGTTTAATTTTAAGTGTCAACCTCCCTGGGCCACAGGGAGCTCAGATATTTGCCCAACATTATAATGGGTGTGTCTGTGAGGGTGTGCTGGATAAGATTAACGCTTAAATCACAGTCTGGGCAAAGCAGACTGCTCTCCCCAACGTGGGCGGGCCTCACCCCACTCAGCTGCAGGCCTGAACAGGACAGAAAGGCTGAGTGAGGGAACTCTTCCTGCGTCACTGCGAGAGCTGGAGCCCTGGTCTTCTCCGGCCTTGGACTTGAGGGAAACACGGACTCTTCTTGGGGCTGAGCCTGCCAGCTTTTCCGACAGGAACTCACAGTCGACTCTCCCGGCTTCCAGGCCCTTGGGCTGGGACGAGAACGACACCACCAGCGCCTCCTGGGCTTCAGCGCCAACTGCAGATGGTGAGACTCTCCGTCTCCGAGGCTGCGTGAGCCAACTCCTTGTAGCGAGTCTCCTTCTGTGCATTCTGTTGGTTCCGTTTCTCTGGAGAGCGCTAAGGCAGTTCTAGGATTTTTCTCTGGGATCACCTCTCTCCCACCCTTCGTAACTGGAGTGAGGCCCACCTCATCTACTTCCACTGGGTTGCCAAGCTGAGGGGATTTCAGCCTGATTTGCTGGTGGTGATTTTGCCATCATGAGGGAAGAATCTGCCTGACAATGACCAATGCACAAACAAGAAGAACCCAGAGATAGCAAAGCCAGTTTCCCTAGGACAGGGCTTGCGTGCCTAGATTCAGCCATGCCTGAAACCAGTGACGTCCTCAATTTTTCCTTTCCCTGGACCAATATATGGCACCTCTCCCTTTTTAAAAAAATATTTTTTAATTGATTTCAGAGAGGAAGGGAGAGGGAGAGAGAGATAGAAACATCAATGATGAGAGAGAATCATTGAACGGCTGCCTCCTGCACGCCCCCAACCAGGGGCCCCCAACCAGGGATGGAGCCTGCAACCCGGGCATGTGCCCTTGACCAGAATCGAACCTGGGATCCTTTAGTCCACAGGCCGACGCTCTATCCACTGAGCCAAACCAGCTAGGGTGCACCTCTCCCTTTCTTAAACTTCTTTTTTCTTTCTTCCTCTTTCTTTCTTTCTTTCTTTCTTTCTTTCTTTCTTTCTTTCTTTCTTTTGCTTAAGCTATGTTAAATTAAGTTTCCACCATTTAAAAAAATAATTAGAATTTACTTTAAAACACTATTTGACCAGTACCCAACTGGGAGTATATATTTTTCTATTATAAGCAGTGTTGTCAGGAGCATGCATATTTGTACACATATCTTTGACGAGTCCTAAGAATATATGGATAGGATATATTCCTAAAAGAGGAACTGGTGGGGCAAAAGTACATATGCTTTTTTTTTTCCTCTGTAGAAATTCAATTTATTTTTTGACTATTTTCATAAGAAGCAGTGGTGTGCTGCTTTTCTAAAAATATGCCTTTATAGGTTTATATGTAATATGTATATTATAAAATCCACACATGTATTTACATGATGGCTACATACAAAAGCACAGCACTGTGGTATGTACACATCTATAGGTACATTCTTTCCGCTCATCCCTGCTGTGCTTTTCCCCGGTGAGGCAGCTCGAGGCCGGCTCAGCCGGCTGCCTCTGCATGAGGGAATCAGCAGAGAAAAACATGCATTTAAAATGTTGACTGCTGTATCCAGATGACCTTCCAAAAAGGTTGCCCAATTCATACTTCCAACAAATATAAAGGATTATTTCTTTTTATCCTTTTATCACCGTAGATACTATCATTTTTTAAAAATTTTGTCTACGATAGGATAAAATGTAGTATATTCTAATTTCCATTTCTATGATTTTTAAGGAGATTGAACATTTAAAAAATACATTTAACTAAATTGTGGTTTTTTTTCTATAAACTGCTTTTCCTATCCATTATTCACTTTTCTACTAAGTTGCTCATCTCTTCTCCTTTTTATAAATATGTATTTTTTTATTTCAGAGGAAGGAGAGGGAGAGAGAGCAACATCAGTGATGAGAGAGAATCACTGATCAGCTGTCGCCTGCACGCCCCCTACTGGGGATGGGGCCCACATCCCGGGCATGTACCCTTGACCGGAATCGAACCTGGGATCCTTTAGTCCACAGGCCGACGCCCTATCCACTAAGCCAAACCAGCTAGGACTCATCTCTTCTTATTTATTCAGGTGAGCTCTTTATATATGATGGATAGCAATTCTTTGTCTGCCATAAGCATTGTAAATAAATGGAAGTTTTGAGCCCACAGAGTCCCCAGGGTGGGGAGGGCCTGGCTATTACCTGGCTCGGGTTCTGTGGATTCACAAAGATATTCTTAGCTGTCACATTTCCATGAACGTACTCATTCTCATGGAGGAACTCCAGGGCATCCAGCTGGGGGAAGAAGAGCACAGTGATCTCCCTGAGTAGCACTACGAACACAGAGGCTCTGATGCAAAGCCCGGGGCATGAATCTCCTCTGTGAGACCCGCGTGCTATGGCCTGCTTGTGCCTGGGGTTGTGGGCAGGTTTAAGCTGACTGATTCTGGGGGAAGCATTAGGAAGTCCACTCTGACAGCACACCTATAAAGGTCTTCTAATTAGGCTTTAAAAATTTCAGCATTAAAGCTAACGTTTGGTTTTCTATGTATCTCTTGTATCTGTTTCTTAGTTGATTGCAAACTCAGGAGAGAGAAGATGGTTACTTATTGTTTCCTGCAAACACACACACACACACACACACACACACACACACACCCCAAACCCAATTCCCGTGTATATCAAAGAGTTCTTCTCATTTCTCCTAGAAAGCAGAAATACATTTAGTTAAGCAATTGCTATTTTTATCTCTCACTCCAACGTCTCCACTGAGCTCCAGGCTCATGGTGTTTCTTACATCACGATGACATCCCAATCCCCCCTTGACTCCAAGGCTGTCCACCAAGTTCTGCTTGTCCTACAGACTCTCTATCCCCATAGCCTGGCCCCTCTCCTCAGGCCTCGTCCTGTCTCACCTGGCCTCCAGCACCCATCCAGTCCCTCCCCACAAGGCCCACAGGGTCCTTCTGCATCCAGAGCTGACCTGCCCCTCCCTTGCTCCCACTCCCCCCATGGCTCCCCAGTGCCCTCAGGACAGAGTCCCAGCTCCTCAGCTTGGTAATTCAAAGTCCTGCGTGATCCAGTCACTGCCAACCTCTCCACACCAATCTCTTATCTTTCCCCCTCCACACGTCACACTGCAGGCTGAGCACAAAGACCTCTGGAACTCACCTAGTATGTTCCTCCCGTGCTACTTTCATCCCTCCCCCAATTTAAATTGGGTCCTCTTATTCGCCATCATAGCAGGGGGACATTTCTATCCAGAGAACTTGTCACAATTTGTACTACTCTTTAATACAATCCTCTCTGACTAGACCTAAAAAAACATGTCTGTGCTACTCCCTGCTGTACTCCCAGCCCCTGGGACAGTGTCTCATACCCAGCAGAGACCTCATAAATATTTAAGGAAAGGGTGGATGAAGGAATGAATGAATGAACCAATGCCGTATGCTCTCTCTCCCACACAAGCCTTTGCTCAAGCTGTCCCCTTGGCCTGGAATATCTTCCCGCATCTCCACTCCCACTCTACGCAGGCCCCTTGCTATTTCCCACTCTTGGCTTAGAAAGGACCTCCATCCGGAAGCCCAAACGAACCCCTCACCTTGAGGCTGGGGCCCTTCCTCAACGGCCACAGCCCCCCAAACGCCCTGGTGCTGGTGCTTATCCCTCCGGTCCTAACGGCCTGGGCTTCACCTGTCAGTCAGTGTGCTCGTCCTCAGTGTCCAGCAGAGGGCGGCCGGGCTAACGTGTCAGTGAACAGCCTGACCACCAGCAGCAGCGGCCGCCCCGGGTACGTACCAGCCGGCAGGCCACCTGGAACACGCACTGCGTGGGCATCGTGTGCTTCGGGTTGTCATCCAGCGCCGACTGGAGGCTCCTCCCCAGCATGGGGAGCACCAGGAACCTGGAAGACACGACATCCCAGGTGGAGAGATGACGGGAGCGAGCAGAACAAAAGACACCGAGGAAGGGTGCGGGGTGGCCACGAGGTCCTGGTCCCAGGCACGATTAAGGGTTCTGATTGGTGGGGGATCCACCTGGCTCAAAGCAGGAGAAAGGAAGGAAGCAACTAACTGGCCAATGGCTCCAGGGCCCCAGCCACGTCCCAGCGCATGACAGGGAGAGAAAGGAAGGGGCCAGTGGGCGGGTGGCAAGTTAGGCGACTCACCTGTACCTGTCCTGGTGAATGCCAAAACCAACACAGGTGGGGATGGCCAGTAAGGGGGTTGAGGACCGCTTCTTCCACTTGTTCACTATGGGAGGCAGGGACCTGAGAGGTTAGAGCCATCTGGTCCCAGGCCCTTGGGGACAACAGTCCATTCTCAGACCAGAAGCAGAGTGTCCCTGTGCCCAGGCCAGACCCTGAGTCTCCTGGTGGGAGATGCCACCTCTGTGGGTGGGTGACAATGGGGGTGCTGACAGAGTGGGCCTGGTGACCCCTGAATGTCATCTATGTCTGCAGGTGACAAGGGGTAAACATGGGGGAAAGAATATACAAATCTGGAGTGAGTGGGAGGAGTAAGAACAGGAGAACTTCTGAATTCACACGTATAGCTAATAAGATCAGAAAATGTCTAAACTGGCTATGGTGCCACTAGATGTTAGCCCATCTTCCAGGACCTCCTTTGGACGGTACAGAGGCAGCAGAGTGCTGATAACAGTTTAATGGCCGGCTGTCCAGGGGAAAAGAGCCCTGGTTTGTACTGTTTGCCAATTTCTATGGTGTAAATACTCCCACCACGGTCACAGAACGTGGAGATGGGAAGGGATTCGTAGCAGCACACAGTTATGTACTGGTCTCACCATCCAGGTACAAGGATATAAACAACCTCAAGGGTGTAGATTACTGAAATGTAGACAAATAATTGTGAAGTGGTGAGTTTTGAGTATTTATTACCCTTCTTCTTAATCTAAGTTATTGTATTGTTAGTTGGTGTGATTAATTTAAATAAGGGCTATGTTTAACAACTGGCTTAAACTAATTTTGAAATTTTAACACTCGGCTCTCAAGATCTGGCATGAGCTGGCCTCCACCCATGTTGTCTGAGGACTGAGGGGTGACAGGGCCTTCTGTTTAAGCCCCACCCTCCCCACACCTTCAGGGAGAAGCCAGGTGTTCTGACCAAGCTGGTACCTCCAGGTTTGCCCGCTTGCCCACTCCCTGCAGCGTACCTTGCGAAAGCTTGGCGGCCCGCAGGAAGAAGTTCTGCTCATTGAACAAGCGCCCATCCTTGGCATCCTAGTGTGGGGTGGAGGGGAGGAGGCTGTCACCCTGGAATCTCTTAGACAAGGGGTCCCAGATCACCACTGCTGGCCAAGTATCACCCCAGGGTAATGGCAGCAACAACTCAGGTTCCCGGCAAGTCCTGCCGATCGGAACCAAATCCCCAGGGTGCCACACGCGGACCCGAATCAGAGACTTCAAGTGATCTCCCATCGCCCAGGTTCCTTTCCTTTCTTTTACGATGGGACCTCCAAGTTTTCCCCAGACACGGCCTTCCGCTAGAAACTAGATTCCCGAGCCTCCGCTGAAGTGAGGAAGGACCACAGGACAAGTTCTGGCCAAAGGGGAGGTGAGCAAAAGCGATGTGGGCAGCTCCCGGGCTATGCCCTCAATGGGCTGGGCAGGCGCTCCCCTTCCTCTCTGTCCCTGTGGCTGGAATGCATACGGACAGTGGGAGCGGGAGCAGCCATTTCAGCCCACAGATGAAGGTTATGGGCTGAGATGCTGGAGCAACAAGAGAGAAGGAAACTGGGCCCCTTGGTTATGGAACCGTCATATCAGCCCTGGACCACTGTCCCAGACTTCTAAGTGAAAGAGAATAAAATAGCTGAAACCGGTTTGGCTCAGTGGATAGAGCGTCGGCCTGCGGACTGAAGGGTCCCAGGTTCGATTCCGGTCAAGGGCATGTACCTGGGTTGCGGGCACATCCCCAGTAGGAGATGTGCAGGAGGCAGCGGATCGATGTTTCTACCTCATCGATGTTTCTAACTCTCTATCTCTCTCCCTTCCTCTCTGTAAAAAATCAATAAAATATATTTAAAAAAATAAATAAGTAAAAATAAAATAAAATAAAATAGTACGTTTGCTAAGACCACTGTTAATACCGGGTCATTTTCCCCCAGCAGTAAAACCAAATGTATTGTTTAAATACAACCAGTACAGCTGGTTTCATAAGAGCATAGGGTCAAAGAGAAGTCGTTTCAGAACCCACCCTCCCTCCCTCCCTCCCTTCCTTCCTTCCTTCCTTCCTTTCTATAAAGCACCTACTGTGTGCTGAGTATTGTTCTGGGCCCTGGAGATACAGCTGTGAACAAAGAATCTTGAGTGCTGTATTCCCTGGGGAAGAAGGTAACTACCCCACAGGCTTGCTTGGAAACGCTCAGCCCAGAGTCAGGCACAGAACAGGCGCTCAACAAGCAGGCGCTATTACTTATCTGTGAGCCTGTCTCCGGAACCCTCGCTCTAAACCACTCACATGGCCTCCATCCATCTAGGGCCAAGAGAGGAACCCAATCCAGCTGCCCCAGTTTTCCTGGGGGGTGAGAATGGGTAAGAAAATATGAAGAAATAAGAGTCACCCAGGATCCCAGCACTCGCGCCCTGGCCGGTGTGGCTCAGGGGAGACTTGGAGGCTCCTCTCGCCTCCCCAGGTACTGGTCCCTGGGCACTTCCTCATAAACACAGAGCGCCACAGGGTCTGGGGTTTGAGTCCCGGTCAAGGGCGCGCACGGGGTTACTACCTGGGTTACAGGTTGGTCCCCAGCCCTGGCTGGGGTGTGTGCGGGAGGCAACCAATCGATGTGTCTTTCTCACATCAATATTCCCCCCTCCCCCTGCCCCTGCCCCTCCCTTCCACTCTCTCTAAAAATCAATAGAAAAATACCCTCAGGTGAGGACTAACAAATAAGCAATCCCGGCATCAGGGATGGTGGTGGGGCCCGACACGCCCATGCCCTTTACTAGGCGCCTCCTCCAGGCTGAATGACGTGACTGGCCTGGCTGCTCTCACTTCCTCCGTTTATGTTTTTCTTTCTGGCCCCCTCGAGTGCGTGTTTCCTGTGTTCGAAAAGGTCAGGCATGACTTCCCTGACTCCTCAGCACAGGCACCCCATCTGATTGGTTCTCTGCTGAGCCCCAACACCCAGCATGGTTTTATATTATGATTGGTGCTCAGTAAATACAGCTGTGAGGCAGGCAGTAGCGGGCAGACGCCCACCCCCCCACCCCCGACCTGGCTAGACCTGGCTATTCCTGGCTCCACCTCCCAGGTGAGGAGAGTCATCTCGGAGAGGGAGGCGCATGCCCAGATCGCAGAGCTGGGAAGTGTGAGAGGCAGGGCCTCGGAGGGCCCTGGGAGATGAAGAACCTGAGGCCCGGCCCAGTCCCGCTGCCCCTGGCTCTCCTGCCTGCCCCAGCCCCAGCCCACAGAGAGGCTTGGAGAGCCAGGGTGCACTTGCCAAAGCCCCAGACCCTCCCTCAGCGCGTCCCTCCCCGGCCCAGGGACCGCCACCCCCCAGGCCCACTCACTAGTTTCAGCGTGAATCTTTGTTTCTGGGCACTCGAATCGGAGGCGGAGACAGACTCAGCTGTGGACGGACAAAATGAGCGAGGTTATGATCTACAGCCAGCATGTCAAACTCGCCGCCGGCATGCAGCCGGCCCGCTGCGCGTCCGACATGCTTGATCTGCAGGGAGGGTGAGCACAGCGTCCTCAAACTTCCCAGGAGCGAGCAGCAGCGCTGGTTCCCTGGTTCCCACGGGGCCCAGTGCATCCTTGGTTTCCAAGAGCTGCTGGCCCTTTTCTCTGCCTCCTTCTCTCTCTGGGACTACCCAGCTATGAACGGGTATGAACACAGCAGATCTCAGACTGCTCTCCGTGGAAAAGCCTGCTCCAGGGCGACCCTCGCTGGATTTCGGGAGGGTCCGGCATTCTGTAACCAGTCAGAGGGGCTCCCTGTGCCCACACCTGTGCTGAGCACCTGCTTTCCTGCCGTGTCTGGAATGGTGGTGTGTTCCAGCAGAGGGGCCTCCATGACAGCCCCAATATAAACCCTGGTGCAGTCTCTCTAACGAGTGTCCCGGGTAAACACCATGCCACACGTGCTGTCCGCCTCAGTGCGCGTCTGTGACGCCACGGGGAACGGGCCCTGAGGTTGCGCGGGCTGGCCTCCCGTTGCCGGCTGCCGGTCCTCTCCTGTGATGGGTCACGGCGTGAGAGGCCTGTGGGCCTCCTAGTGCAGCGGTTCTCAGCCTGTGGGTCGCAACCCCTTTGGCGGTCGAACGACCCTTTCACAGGGGTCGCCTAAGGCCATCCTGCATATCAGATATTTACATGACGACTCATAACAGTAGCAACATGACAGTTATGAAGTAGCCACGAAAATAATTTTATGGTTGGGTCACCACATGAGGAACTGTACTTAAAGGGCCAGAAGGTTGAGAACTGCTGTCCTAGTGCATCCCTGAACCTAAGTGGTCCTGGGGACCCTGACAAACTCTCTGCCGTTGTCTACATGTATGGGTAAGTGCCATGTGACGGAGGCAGCTCCCCTTCCAGGAGGACTTGTTGCCTTAGCCCAGCCCCACCCCACTCGTCACGGGCAGCCTTCAGCCCCTCAGGGATCCCTCAGCTGCAGATCCAGGGCGGCCCATAGGCTGGTCAGGGGGATCTAAAGGCCCAGCCCTGCTGGCCTGACATGGACCTGATGAAGGACCACCTCTGCCCGGAGCCCCCAGGGGCCAGCTCAGGCTGCGCAGAGGCCTCTGCAACAACCCCTCCTTCCTCTCCCCTCCCCCACCCCGGGTACTGGTCCCTGGCACTTCCTCATAAGCACCTTGCGTGCTGCCCCATTCTGCATCACTGTAAACCCTGCAATGTCTCCGGCCCTGTGCTAAGTGTGTGCTTTACACACACCCTTTCCTTTAACACTCAGGACAGCCCTAGGAAGCAGGTCTACTAATATATTATTACTGTTGCTGCCGTTGTTAGCACCACCTGACAGATGAGATGAGAAAGCTGAACCTTAGCAAGGCCGCGCCACAAGGGAAGCTTCATGCCAGGCCAGCCTGGGTTCAAGCTCAGTCCTGCCATCAACTCTGTGACTCTGTCTGAGGTGCTAAACCTCTCTGGGCCTTCCTTACCACGTCTGTAAAATAGGAAGCCCACCCGAGAGGGATGCAAGGATTCAGAGGGCCCAGGAGAAATGACAGTACCAGCTGGGCGCAGATCAGAGCTGGCTTCATCTCTCACGTGTGCCACTCAATGAACCCACTTAGCACAAGCCCAGCACCACACCGGGCACGCCAGGAGCACTCAATGTGTGGCTTTTAGAATGTAGCAGGCATGAGGGCCACAGCCAGTAAGGAGCTGAGCTGCCCCGGCCCGGGCCTAGCTCATCCTACAGCCCGTGAACTGAGCCATCGCCGGCTGTCCCAGCAGGCTCTCTGCGTCCTCCCTCTCTTTCTCCCTTCGTCATCCCGGTTGTCAGATTTCCGGAGCCAGACTCTGGCTAGTTACTCCCATCTCTGGGATTCATTTTCCTCATCTATAGAATGGGGATAAGGACAGTGCTGATGTCATAAGACTGTTGTAAGAATCAGGTGCGTTAAGAAGTACATTGGCCCTCTGCATTGGCGGGTTCTGCATCTGTGGATACAACCAACTGCTGACTGGAAATGTTTGCAGGGTGGGATGGGGGGGAGGAAGTTATATTATTGCTGAGTGTATTATGCAGTTAGGCGAGGATGGTTGCGTCTGTACCGAGCATGTACAGATGCTTTTTCCTTGTCGTTATTCCCTAAACAATGCAGTATAAATTTACTCAGCATTTACACTGTACTAGGCAGGAGCAGTAATTTAGAGATGGTTATGGGAGGATGTGCACAGGTTACATGTGGACACTACGCTATTTTATATAAGGCACTTGAGTATCCTCCGACTTTGGTACCCGCAGGGGATCTGGGAAGCAGCCTGCGGATCCCGAGGGTCGACTACATAAAACAAACCTGTTAGCGTATAGACCTGTACACAAATGTTGACACCACAGCCAGAAGTGGAAACAACCCAAACGCCCGCCCACTGATAAATGGATGAACCAAATGTGCTAATACACACACCCTGGAATGCTACGCAGCCACGGAGCGGAATGAAGCACTGGCCCACGCTACGACATGACGGACCGTGAAGACATCATGCTAAGGGGAAGGGGCCAGACACAAAAGGCTACACAGCGTATCCCTCCATTTGTCTGGCATGTCCAGAACGGGCAAATCCAGAGAAAAGAATAGATTAGTGGATCCCTGGGATGGAAAGGGGGAGATAAGAGTGACTGCTAAAAGGTATGGGCCTGGCCTGATTGGTTTGGCTCAGTGGGTAGAGAGTTGGCCTGAAGGGTCCCCGGTTCAATTCCCAGTCAGGGCACATGCCCGGGTTGCAGACGCGATCCCCAGTAAGGGGCGTGCAGGAGGCAGCCGATCAATGATTCTCTCATCATTGATGTTTCTCTCTCTCTCTCCCTCTCCCTTCCTCTCTGACATCAATAAAAATATATTAAAAAATAAAAGGTCTGGGGCTTCCTTTTGGGGTGATGGAAATGTTCAGGAATTAGATCGTGGTGATGGTGCATAACATTGTGATTATACTAAAACCCACTGAATTGTAGACTTTCAAATGGTGAATTTTATGTTGTATGAATTTTATCTCAACTAAAAGAAAGCATGACCCCCCACGCCAGAACTGCATAAAGTGCTAAGCACAGGGTCTGGCTTTGAGTAAGTATTCAGTAAATGTTAGGATGATAATTACTAACACTTCCAGCAGTTATTTTCTTCGTTGTAACAAGGTGTCCATTATTTTTTATACATAAATTTTTATTGATTTTGGAGAGGAAAGGAGAATATGAGCGAGATAGAAACATCAATGATGAGAGAAAACTATTGATTGGCTGCCTCCTGCATGCCCCCTACTGGGCACCGAGCCCACAACCCAGGCATGTGCCCTTGGCCAGAATCGAACCCGGGACCCTTCAAGTCCACAGGCCGATGCTCTACCCACTGAGCCAAACCAGCTAGGGCCAAGGTGTCCATTTTTTGATGTTTGACGACAGCTTTTGAGTCCGGCCCTGCCTCTTCCCCTCCCGCCCCGCATCTGCACGAGCTGAACCTTGGAAAGCCGAGGTTCCCTCCTTTGGTGCTGGTGGGAGAGGCAACCATGGGAGGCCATGGCCCGTGTGGGAACTCTCACCTCAGCTCCACCACTTAACCTCAATAAAAACCCAGGCCAGGTGCCTTTCCTTGCAATCGCAGGACATTTCAGACCTGCTCCTCCCAGACAACCATGCAAGCAATAAACCTTTCATATCCTCCTGGTGTGTGGCATCATCAGTCTTAACATTCAAACCAAATATGGGTGGTGCTGGGGGGACATTATATCTCTGCAGGGTAGAGATTAATCCCTGTTCTTATCCCTGTTCTTATCACGGGCCTGCATTCCCACAGGACTACAGCAGGTGGAGCCGAAGAACTCCGGTCTCCAGCTGCCCAGTCGCCACCACTCCCACTGCCTTACTCCCAGCCTCCTGCACTCATTTACTCCACCTGCGTGGCCCCTGTGAGTGGGCAGTCTGTGGTCCCACGTCTAAGAGAAATTTGCCTGGAGGCAGGTGTGCAGCTGGGCTACGGCTTCCATTTTCATTCTCAGAAAGGGGTTCCCCCTCCCTCTGCCCGGGTTCCAAGATGGCCGGGCCCAGCCCAGCACCTGCCCACTTGTAGGCAGAGTGTACCTTCATAGAAAATGCCCTGGTCGTCTCTGGTCTGCAGGGATCCCAGCTTCCAGTGCCGTCCATTCTTGTCCATCAGCACTGTCCCCGTGGGCAAAGCCTCAAGGGAGATGGTCACACGCCTCCGCTTCAGAGTCTGAGGGCTTTTCTTCTTCATCTGCGGGCTGCTTTTGGGGGTTAGAGGACTGCCCCCTACAGCAGGACGGCCAGAATAAAGGAAAATCCAGGAGAGAAAAGTTGAATGAATAATGAGACAATAATCATAGTTCTGTTCATTTACTCATTTGTTCAATGAAAAACAACAACAAAATGGTTCCTGAAACCTCTCATGGGTCAGGTCTTTGTGACAAAGCTGGGGACCCAGACATGAGTCAGACCTGGGCCCCTCCCACCAGGGCCCCTACTTGGGTGGGAGAGTCTAACCTGGACACAGCCCATCAGGCAAGGCAGTACAGAGAGATATGAAAAGGAGACTGACTGTGCCTGGAGAAGTCAGGGAAGGCTTCCAGGAGGAGGGGACATTGGAGTTCAGTCCTGTTGAATGAACAGAACTTGCCAGGGGGAAAAAGACATTCTAGACACGCAACCAAAAACATCCCGACAGAACCTGGCCTTGTGCTAGGTATAAAGACATTGATTGACTCCCAGGCTGGTAAGAGAATGGGGTGGCGTGGTGAGGAGGAAACGGTATCAGCTGGACATGGACACAGGAAAAAATACAAACATCCCCATCCCTCCCACCTACCATCTACCCAAAGCACAAGAGGTGGTGGGGCCTACAGGATAACAAGGGACAGAGAGGAGACGCCACGGGCTGCGACTTCAGATCTCAGGGCCTGGGAGGGAGGAGACCGGCTTGTGGTCCTCACGCCTCCTTTACCCACTGGCTGCCTTGAGAGCCTAGAGGGGACTTGCGCTCAAATGACTGGCACTGGCACTGTGGGGGCGCAGACGGAGAGCGCAGAGGCTCTGAGGGAGAGGAGATGGCCTTGACCCGGTGTGGTGCTCGCAAAAGGCTTCCTGGAGACCTGACCCCGTGCTGGGGAAGTGGCCGCGGGCCAGCAAAGCAGGGAGTGTGCCCTGCTGAGGGAACAGACAGGCAAAGACCAGAGGCTGAGGCCCTAGACAGCACCTCCAGAAAGTAAGTTTTCCACGCACAGGGCTGTGGTGAGAGCTAAGACAGGAAGCAGCCACACCGAGTCTCAGATGCCAGGCTGAAGAGGTGAGACTGTGGGGCAACGGGAACAGCAGGTGACTGTGAGCAGGGAGGGAGGGGGTCAACTCTGGAGGGGGAACCTGGAGGCTGGGATAAGGGTCCAGGCAGGTGTGAGTGATGCCTGGGCACCCAAACACTGTCCGATGACCCGCCTTTACCCATCCTGAGTCAGGCCAGATTGATCCTAACACTCACCTTTGGGCTTCGAGGTATTAATACCTTTGGGACTCAAGGTATCTTCAGACCCAGAACTGTTGCAGTTTAACAAGTAGGATGAGGAAGACGTGCCACAGCTGGACCACTTCACTCTCTTGGGAGAGGATTCATAGCTGGGGTTCTTTCTCCTTGAGCCTAGGGAAAGGAAGACCGAATGCAAACTGGAGTTACGAAGGCCCTTCCCGGGAACATGAAACCAGAAACCCAAGTTCAGAGTCAACCACTCTCTTCCCTTCGACCCTCACAGCCAGGTCTTGCTGCTTCTTCGGGGGGCTTGGTCTCTCTTGTATCACTCTGTCACTCTCTACTGTCTTTTAGGTAATTTCTCCAGATCTATCTCCTAGTTCACAATTCTCTCTTCCGCTTTGTCTGGTCTGCAGTGTAAACAAACCGATGAGTTTCTGATTGCCATGAGATTCGTTTTCATCATCACAGGTGTTGTTTGGCTCTTTCCCAGGTCTGCCAGGTCAAATCTCACTAGCTTTTGTTCCTTCATTGTATTTTTAACTTCTTCCTTTATTTCTCTAAACACATTAAAGGTGTTCTGCACGTGGCCTCATCTGTTAATTCCAAGGTGTCTGGTCAGCGCAGGTCTGATTCTGTGGCTTGTTTCCTGGTATCTTCTGATTGGTTGAGAGCTCACATACCCGGGGGAATTCTCTCAGGTCAATCTTTAAAGGGTGCTCCACAAAAAGATATGCCTCAGTTGGGGAGGGGCACCCACACCTCATCACTCACTTTACGCTAACTTTTCCCCGTGGGTTTTCTTGGGGCTGCACAGTTCCGTATGAATGCTGGCCCCAAACTGGTGAGGATGCAAGTTCTTGGCTAGAAGTTCTTAGATAGGACATTCCGCCTTTTTTTTCTCATCCACAACCAGGGTGAGACAGACAAATGTCACCACCAATTTCCTGTGTGAAAAATTTTTGTTCTAGTTTACCTACTGAGGAGTCCTAGATTTTAGAGGTCTCCAACCTTACCTCCCCATGCTTCTCAGGCTCTCAGCTTTGTCTCCTGTGGCCCATTACAACCCAGGCTGGAGGCCACCAAACAGCCCAGGACCAGCACCACCTGCAGCACTTGCTCAGCCTGTGGACCTGCTTTCTCACTGTTTCTCACTTCTGTGGAATTCTCTTTCAACTCAACCCTCTGTTTTCTTTAATCCTGACCTGAGGCTATGTTTATTAACTTTAGAGAGAGGGAAAGAGAGAGAAACATCGATTGGTTGTGTCTCGCACATACCCCAACTGGGGACCGAACTCACAAGCTAAGTATGTGCCCTGACCAGGATTTGAACTCGTGACCTTTGGGTGTATGGGATAAGGCTCCAACCAACTGAGCCACACTGGCCAGGGCAGCCCTTTGTTTTAAAAAGAGATATTCTTGCTGGGCCGGCATGGCTCAGTGGTTGAGCATCGACCTATGACCAGGAGGTCACGGTTCAATTGCCGGTCAGGGTACATGTCCGGGGTTGCAGGTTTGATACCCAGTGGGGGGCATGCAGGAGGCAGCCGATCAATGATTTTCTCTCATCATTGATGTTTCTATCTCTCTCTCCCTCTCCCTTCCTCTCTGGAATCAATAAGAATATATTTTAAAAATAAATATGATTTTAGCCCTAGCCAGTTTGGCTTAATGCATAGAGTATCGGCCTGTAGACTGAAGGGTCCTGGGTTAGATTTCTGTCAAGGGCATGTACCTTGAGTGCAGGCTCGAACCCTGGCCCTGGTTGGGGTGTGTGCAGAAGGCAACCAATTGATGTGTCTCTCTCACATCGATGTTTCTCTGTCTCTTTCCCCTTCCCTTCCACTCTCTCTAAAAAAAAAAAAAAAAATCAATGGAAAAATATCCTTGGGTGAGAATTTAACAACAAAATATATGTTTTTATTGATTTCAGAGAGAGAGAGGGAGAGAGACAGAAACCTCAATGATGAGAGGGAATCATCATCGATCAGCTGCCTCCTGTACATCCCCCACTAAGGAGTGAACTCAAAACCCGGGCATGTGCCAAAGCCGGTTTGGCTCAGCGGATAGAGCGTCGGCCTGCGGACTGAAAGGTCCCAGGTTCGATTCCGGTCAAGGGCATGTACCTGGGTTGCAGGCACTTCCCCAGTGGGGGATGTGCAGGAGGCAGCTGATCGATGTTTCTCTCTCATCGATGTTTCTAACTCTCTATCACTCTCCCTTCCTCTCTGTAAAAAATCAATAAAATATATTTAAAAAAAAACAAAAAAAAAAAAAAAAAACCCGGGCATGTGCTGGGAATCGAACCGAGATCTCCTGGTTCATGGGTCAGCGTTTAAGTACTGAGACATACTGGCCAGGCCAGACTTATTTTAATAAGAAAAATAAATCCATTCATTTGTTTCTACTCTTGAAGTAGCATTTTCTGATACTGGCAGCCAAACACAATCCCAAATGATATAATGAGTGCTGCTGAACTTTCTGCCACGTACGCCAACTCCCTTCGGTGGCTTTCAGGTAAGCACGTATACATCTCAATCGACCAGGATCTGTGCTTGGACTTTCCACTGGGCAGGACCCATAGCTGATGTGTCATCATAAGATTGTGCCAGGGATGGTCCTGAGTGCTGTGCAAACAAACCAGTCAACACAGCTTACAAACTACAATGAATTCCTGCCCTTATGGAGACAAAGATGAGAAGCAATAGAAATAAGTAAAATACTGCATTCAATAGGGTTGATACTTACAAGCACCAAAAGGCAATATAAAGCAGGGGTAGGGGATAGGGAGAATCATATGTAGGGAAGGTGTGATTTTATTTGACTTTTAAATATATTTTTATTTATTTCAGAGAGGAAGGAAGAGGGAGAGAGATAGAAACATCGATGATGAGAGTTAATCGCTGATCGGCTGTCTCCTGCAGGCCCCACACTGGGGATGGAGTTTGCAACCTGGGCATTAATAGAAACATTAATAGAAACAGAATCTGAATGCTGTTTGGATACTTTGCCACAGTCTGGACAGAAGGTGGTCATGCTAGAAAACAGAAGTGTGCCCTGACCAGGCATGTGCCACTGAGCCACACCAGCCAGACAGAGAAGGTGTGATTTTTTTTAAAACCAATTTTTTTGTGTGTTTTTTAAAAATATTTTTATTGATTTCAGAGAGGAAGGAAGAGGGAGAGAGAAATAGAAACATTAACGATGAGAGAGAATCATTGATTGGCTGCCTCCTGCACACCCCCCCATGGGGACTGAGCCCGCAACCCGGGCATCGGGGCATGTGCCCTTGACCAGAATCGAACCCGGGACCCTTCAGTCCGTAAGCCGACGCTCTATCCACTGAGCAACACTGGCTAGGGCGAGAAGGTGTGATTTTTAATTAGACAGGTCGGGAAAGGCCTTTCTGAGAAGGCAACTACTGACTAAAGACCTGAAGGAAGCGGGAGAATGGAAAGAACAGAAGGAACAGCAAGTGCAATGGCTCAGAGGCCCAGGCATGCCTGAGGTGTGGAGGAAGAGGGAGGAGGCCTAGGTGGCTGGAGATGCATAAGCAACAACAAGAGGGTTTGGAGAGGAGCTGGGAGAATATGGGGACCTGATCATGTCAGGCCTAACCTGGGAAGGTGCTGAGGAGAGGAAGGGCAGGGTCTGACTTTGTTTTAACGGGATCTGTCAGGCTGCCACGTAGAAAACCATAGAGGAGAGAGAAGGGGGACCAGGGGAAGGCTTCCTCAACAATGTTAGTGACAGGCGAGGGTGGGATGGACCAGGGTGGTGGCAGAGGAGGTGGCAGGAAGTGGTCTGATTCGGCACTGATTTTAAACAGACAAGATTTGCCAGAGGGTTAAAACTGTGGGTGGGAGAGAGAGGGGACTCAGGATGACTCCATGGTCGGCTCTGAGAAACTATATAAACAGAGTTGCCATTTACCATGACGGGGAAGTCTACGAGAGGGGCGGACGGGGGGCAGTCACAGCAGGAGCTCAGTTCTGGGCATGCAGAGATAGATGTGCATGAACATCTAATCGGTGTCGAGCAAACGGTCTGACATGCATGAATCTGGGTTCCAGTGGAGGAGTCCAGGCTGGAGACAGAGAGGCGGGAGTTGTCAACCATAAAGCCAAGAGACCGAGAAGATGCCAAGAAACTGAGTCAAGAGAGAGCCTGAGCTCTGGGCTTCTCCAGGGTCAAGGCCGGGCCAGACTGCAAAGACAGTGCTCCCTCCCAAATGCCGGCACACAGGCCCCTCCCCCACCCTCCAGGGCCTTACCTCGGAAGGATGACGAAAGCGGTCTGACAGAGGTCTGGGACCCCTCCGGCTCCTCCGTTGTCGACAAAGACTTTCCGCAGTAAGGGCAGAATCTGAACGCTGTTTGGATACTTTTGCCACAGTCCGGACAGAAGGTGTTCATGCTAGAAAACAGAAGTATGCGGGAGGGGACAGGAAGGTGAAAGAGAAACTTAATTCACGGCCAAGTTCCTTATGGCGACACGATTGCAAAAGTAAGAAAAGTAATCACTCAGGGAATATATTCTCTCAGGAAGTGGCCACTCCTAACATGAGCTCCCGCCCACTGTGTTCAGCCTCCAGCCATCTGTCTCTAATGGCCCAGGGCAAAGGGGCAAAGCAGAAACTGCAGATCTCATCAAAAACATGAGGCTGAAAAGGAGACATATGTAATACCCTTTGTAATACTTTAAGCAATAAAAAAAAAAAAAAAAAACCCACAGGAGACTGTCTTAAAGTCAATAAAGATTACCTAGGAGCACGGCTCTAATCACAGAAGCACTGAGGGAGAGAGCCAATGCTCACCAAATACCCACATGATCGCCTACACTTCCCAGGGTCCCTTGCAGTTAGATTGGGGCCACATGACTAGTTCTGGCCAATGGCGTATAAGTGGAAGTCATTTTCTGGCTGAGGCAGTTAAGAGCCAGAGTACCTCTTTGGGCTTCTCCTCCCCTGCAGGGATGGCCCTGGAGGACACACCCTCCAAATGGTACAGCTACGCGATGAAGGAGGGCTGCCTGGTCCACATGGGAAGCACGCGATCGGCAAATAAACTAATGTTGTATTGAGCCACCAAGATCTCAGGGTTTATTTGTTACTGCAGCCCAGCCTATCCTCCCCTGACTAACTTAGTGAGACAACAGGTACTGGCTGCATTTTCCTCTAAGCCTTATGTATCTCTGGATTATTTCCTAATACTTGAAAAATCAAAACCAAACTCACACAAACTCACACATAGAGCCTACCACCAATGAAGATATGACGGGTGTAATCATTTCCCAAGGCTGCCATAAAGAAATACCACAGACAGGGTGACTTCAACAACAGGAATTTATTTTCTACACAGTTTTGGAGGCTAGACGTCAGAGATCAAGGCACCAACCAGTCTGGTTTCCTCTGAGGTCTCCCTCCTTGGCTGGCAGATGGCTGCCTTCTCACTGTGTCCTCACATGGTTGTCCCTCGTCTGTGTCCTATTCTCATCTTCTTATAAGGACACCCGTCATATTGGGTTAGGGCCCTGCCTCAGTCTGTTTGGGCTCCTATAATAATGTATCACAGCATCCTGACCGGTTTGGCTCAGAGGACAGAGCGTCAGCCTGCGGACTCAGGGGTCCCAGGTTCGATTCCGGTCAAGGGCATGTACCCTGGTTGCAGGTACATACCCAGTGCAGGAGGCAGCTGGTTGATGTTTCTCTCTCATGGATGTTTCTAACTCTCTATCCCTCTCCCTTCCTCTCTGTAAAAAATCAATAAAATATATATTTTTTTAAAAAAACGTATCACAGGCTGGGTGGCTTATAAACGACAGAAACTTATTTCTCACAGTTCTGGACCCTCTTCTGGGTTGCAGACTGACAACTCCTTGCTGTGTCCTCATGTAGTGGAAGGGGTAGGGAGCTCTCTGGGATCTCATTCACAGAATATTAATCTCATTCATGAGGGCTCCACCCTCATGGCTTAATCCCTCCCAAGGTCCTACCTACAAATACCATCACACTGGGCATTAGAATTTCAACCTGTAAATTTTGGAGGGACCCAAACATTCAGACCACAGCAGGCCCACCCTAACAACCCCGTTTTAACTGAACACACTGCGGGCGGATCACGAGAATTCTCGCTTCATTAAGTATCATACTTTAAAAAGATATTAGCTTGTAAGAACATGTAATAAGTAACTTCAACATGCAATGGGTATTTAATTTTAAAGCGTGCCTTTAACATTTATGTAAAATGGGTTTTTTTTGTACTCGTTCAATAGGAACTTACCTGGCCACTGGGTAAAGCTAGCAATAAAACTACTGGTCCGCAATGTGCTCATTATCTCTTTAAAGGCGCTATCTCCAAATATGGTCACATTCTGAGGTATCTGGGCTTAGGGCTTCCACACACAAATTTTTCAGGGACAGTTCAGTCCATAAAAGCAGGATTAAACTAGTTAATAAGTGAGGAGACAATCGGCAAGGATGACAGTGCAGTAGACGTTTCAAATGAATATATTTTAAATAGCAAAAGAAAAAATGATCTTATTTATTCTTTATCCTAAGACTCAGTGTACAGTACCAATGATAAGCTGGATTATCAAAATAGAAGTCAAAATAAACTCGGGCTTGTGGTTTCATTTCACCGTGTAAGAGAAAGTTCTTCCCTTTTTACCTATTTGTGGCAACTAAAAGTTGTGTATGTTTATGGTGTATGTGATATTTTGGTATATGTACATTGTGAAATGATTACCATAATCAAACTAATCAACGTATCCATCACTTCCCATAGTTATTTGTGTGTGTGTGTGTGTGTGTGTGTGTGGTGAGAACACTGGAGATACTCTTAGCCAATTTCAAGTACAAAATACATTATTATTTACTACAGTCACCATGCTATACATTAGGTCTCAGAACTTATTCACCTTATAACAAAGTGTATACCCTTTCATCAATATCGCCCCATTTATCCTACAGCCTCCGGTAACCACTGTTCTATTCTCTGTTGGTATGAATTGGAATTCCTTTTAGACTCCACATATAAGTGAGATCTTGCAATATTTCTGTGTCTGGCTTAGTCTAATCCAGGGGTGGGCAAACTTTTTGACTCGAGGGCCACAATGGGTTCTTAAACTGGACCGGAGGGCCGGAACAAAAGCATGGATGGAGTGTTTGTGTGAACTAATATAAATTTCAAAGTAAACATCATTACATAAAAGGGTACGGTCTTTTTTTTTTTTTTAGTTTTATTCATTTCAAACAGGCCGGATCCGGCCCGCGGGCCGTAGTTTGCCCACGGCTGGATCAAATGCTTTTCCTTTATTTACTGTAAAGGCTGGTCTCCGTTGCAATTGCAAAACAGAGTTCTTTAAAATCACAGGCTCTAGCCCTAGCCGGTTTGGCTCAGTGGATAGAATGTCGGCCTGTGGACTGAAAGGTCCCGGGTTCGATTCGGGTCAAGGGCACATGCCTGGGTTGCTGCGGGCTCGATTCCCAGTAGGGGGCGTGCAGGAGGCAGCCAGTCAATGATTCTCTCTCATCATTGCTGTTTCCCTCTCTCTCTCTTCCTCTCTGAAATCAATAAAAATATATTTAAAAATAAAATACTGTATATCTAAAAAATAAAAAAATAAAATCACAGGCTCTAGTCCCCGGCTACCTGGATTTGAATTCCAGATCTGCAGTGTGCTGGGCACCTAACTTAACCTCCCTGCGCCTCAGTTTGCCCAACAGTAAAATGGTGCTTCCACTCTACCTGACAGAGTGGTTGCTGAGGCCTAAGTGAACAGAGTTATTGCAAGTGCTGAGAACAGGACCTGGCCCACAGAGAGCCCTTTATGTTTGTGGTTGTTACTATCATGTCGTGCTATGCATTTCACTTATATTCCATTTGTTAATATTTCTATTTTTCCCTTTTTTCTTTCCACACCATTAGTTCTGAGCCTCTCAGGCCTCTGTTTCCTCTGGGTGCTGCCTCATGGGATCCCAGGACCCACCCTGAAAAAACAGAGGCTGTCCAAACAGCGAATGAAAGAAATCTCAGCTAGAAGACAGGGTTCCTTCTCCCCTAGGTCTGCAGAAACCACGCCGTGGCGTAAAACTGCCCTTCTGTTATTTTCCACAAAGGAGGTGGAGTCTAGCCATCTGACTGCAAAAACGGCGGGCCAGATAGATATCCCTTAGCTTCTAAGAAGTCTGTAATTCTGATTGGTTGTGTAACTTCGTAATTTATTGTCCCGGCAATAGCACTGAAATGGGTATTTCTATTGTCTCAAAAAAAAAAAAAAAAAAAGGCAGTTTTGTTAAGCAACAGGAATCACCACCACTTCTTCCTTCTCTCTCAGGCCATGACAAACCTGAAGCTGAAGCATAGTAACCTCCCTCTTGTATAAAACTGCTGTTTGAATTCTCTGCTATTGTTAGATAGTCCCTAGTCCTGTAAATTCTGTCATTTTTAGACAGTCTCTTATTCTATAACTGTTTTAGTTTGAATAATAGAAAAAGATAAAAACTTAGCTGCCTGACCTTGCAAGCCAGCCATCTAATGTAATCGACTAATAGTGATAATAATTCCCATATTCTTATGCCAAATGTTTGTTCTTTATGTATCCAAGATTACAAACTGTAACAATAACTCACACAGAGCTCTTTGTAAAACCTGCAAAGAAGCTCGAAAGATATAAATACGGGAAACTTCCTGTATGTGTGGCTCAGAGATTTGGAAGAGACACCTCCCTCTGGGCCACTCACAATAAGGCGTCTTGTATCTCACTCGCTGATTTACGACACAACAAATCCCTTGTGTTAATGGAGCCAAAACTGCCTAGATGGCTACCCTGAAGCGTTGTTCCAGGCTTTGTGTTAGTGAGAAACTTGTGCTTGGGGTAAGCCACTGAGATTTGGGGGCTGTTGTTACTGCAGCACAGTCTAGCCTAGTCTGACTAACACACTGACACTCTGCTAGATTACGAATGGAAACAAAAGTTAAAGGTTCTAATATAAAGGTTCTGAGACATGGCACAGCTAAAGGCTTAGCGGAGGAGGGACCCAAACAACTTAAAACCTGTGGTGGTTTTAAGTAGCTTTAAGCAGAATTCCCCCAGGTGCCAAGCACCCCTGGATAAAGGCGGCCTCCAGGATGGGCAAAGTGTCTAACCCAGTGACCCTGTCATGCCCACGACAATGGCCCTCCTGGGACTAATACATGAGAGCAGTCACACAAAAGAGATGGAGCAGTTGCAGGATGTTGGTGGGGAACAGAGCTTAAGGGGCATGTGCCCGAGGGGGTGGTACCTTTATGAGATCAGGGTCTGGCCCTCAGATGCGCTGGGCTGGAATCTCCATCGTAACAGTGTTCTGTAAGTGCATAAAGGTGGAGAGGCCGACTCAGGCTCACTTCAGTGTAAGGGGAAGATAATGGTTAATGTTTACTGAGCACCGGCTATGTGTGCTAATTTCATTCATTCACTCAGTAATTATTCACTGAACCCCTAATGTGTGCCAATCCCTGGGGATACAGCAGCAATGGAAACACAGCTCTGCACCTGACAAAGCTGACCTTCTGGGGTGGGGAGGGACCAGATAAACAAATGAGCAAGTAACTATTTAATACAGGTGGGGGACATCCGGCCAGCGGGCTGTATAAGGTCTGGCCCTTCCAAGGGATCCGGGGTGAGTTGATTAAATGTTGGACCAAATCTAGCAGGCTAATTTTTTTTAAAGTTTTTTAAAATATATTTTATTCATTTTTTTTACAGAGAGGAAGGGAGAGGGATAGAGAGTTAGAGACATTATCAGCTGCCTCCTGCACGCCCCCTACTGGGGATGTGCCCGGAACCAAGGTACATGCCCTTGACCGGAATCGAACCTGAGACCCTTCAGTCCGCAGGCCGACGCTCTATCCACTGAGCCAAACCGGTTAGGGACAGGCTAATTCTTAAGTTGATAATTTTGCATGGCCCACGAATGATGTTACAAATATTCAAGTGGCCCTTAGCAGAATGAAGGTCCCCCACCCCTAATTTAATAGGTCAGATGGAGACAGGGCCATGGTAAACGCTCAATAACTGTGGATGGGAGAAAGAAGGGACTCTGAGAGTGCTGACGTCACCTGCCCAAGGCCCCAACCCTCAGGCTAGTCGTTATCACTCATTCCTTTATTTATTCGACAAATATTTACGCAACATCTGCTATGTGTTAAATATGATGTGTGTCCCTCCTGAAAGGATCTGAGACATGGCACAGCTAAAGGCTAGACTCCACCTTAGCTGAGGAGGGACAGTTGTTTGGGGACCCTGACTCGCCTCAGCCCCGCCCTAAGCAGAAACCAGGGGTGACGTAGTGCCAAAGGGCGGGGGGGGGAGGGGCGTCTGTCAACCTCTCATTAGCTCCACCCTTCTCCGCTGTAGCCACGCCCACCACGCAGAGCCGACAGTAGGTTGTGACCAAATCAACTTCTCTCTTCCCCAGACCCGCTCCCGGGCCCTTTCCCCTCCCCCTCTCACAAAGGGTCTTGCTGACGTCACAGGCACCACGACCGAACTGTGCGCAGCGCGTCAGGGGACTTTCTCCCCTGCTAAGCCTCGCCTTCCTCTCACTTCTGGACGTGGTGAGCCGAGTGGAAACCCAATACCTGACTCACTTCGGGCACCGGGACTCACCTTTTCAGTGGCCCCCCGAAAACTTCCGCCGGGGAGGAAGGCGCTGCGCGCGCATTCTCCGCCCTGAGGCAGGCCTGCGCCCGCGCAGGCGCTGCTTGCCCCGCGACTGCCCGCGGCCTGTGCGCCTACCACCGAACTACATTTCCCACAGGCCTTCGCGGCAGGCCAGCCCTCTGACTCGAGGCAGGGGGTGGAACTATTCGCTGATGGCCCACCTCTTTGGAACGCTGCCTGGTTCTACTGCGCATGTGCCGCACTACAAGGCGCGCTTCCGCCAATCAGCAGACGTCACTTTATTTCTCCCGCCTCAAGCTCGCCTCTGGCGCGAGACTTCTCAACGTGTTTCTATGGCAACCGTCGGGATGTCTCCTTGAAAAAAATCAAAAGATTCCCCTTCTTCTAGAAAAGCAGAAGGCTGATTAGATTGTTCTTCAACAGAATAAAAGCTAGGTATTAAATCGAGTCACCGCCGGATTTCGATAGCGGGAACCTCTTAGTGAGGGGTAAGTGGACGGAGACGGGCCGACGAGCACGGCCCTCTGGGAAACGCGGTCTCGCGCTGGCGCGGAGGGTCCCGCGTGGAGAAATTCCGAGATTCGCGCGGCACCGGAAGTGGCTGTGAGGAGGCGGGTGTGAGGGGAGTCGCGTCTGTTAACTCGGCGGACCGCCACCTCGAGGTGAGGAGATGCCGGGCTGGGGTCCTGAGGACTCGGGGGTTGGGGTGGGGGGCCGTCTTCCCTGAGGGAGATGGGATGCCCCTGTGGCGTCTACGGCAAACGGCGCGTCGCCTCGGGCGGTGGGTGAAGGTAGAGGCTTACGGGCCCGGCTCTCATTCCGGTGGTTTCCAGCCCTCGTCGGCAGCCGCGAGGGGAGCGATGCCATTTCATTTTCTTTTGGGGAGTGAGGACACTGAACCAGGAGGGGGTGTCGTTGGCAGAATTGCGCAGGATCTTGAGGTGACTGAGTGGGCGTTTTTCAGGGGTGGGGGCGAAAGGGTTGAACGCTGGCGGGAGCGCGGCCTGTGTGCCACGCGCCCTGCCGTCCTCGCCTTTCCTCCGGTAACCTCCGCGGTCTTATCGGATAACCTGAGCATCATCTCGGAAATCAGACTTTACAAAGCAAACAGGGTGCATATTTCATAATTAGACAGCCCCCCGCCCTCAGCGGGATCTAGGGCAATTCGTGGAAATCAAATATTCCTGTCAGGAAAGGCGTGAATAATCAACACTGAAAGGAAGGAAGACGGTACATGGCCCGTGGCAATTTGGGTTTAAGTTTTGCTGCGAATTTATAAAGTTCTGGTTTTTAGAATTACAGAGAAGGGACCGTGGATCCGTTGTGTCTGTCTCATTTTGTACATGTGGGAACTGAGGTGCAGAGAGGGTGGGTGATCTGGCCCTCGTCCCACACTAAGGCGAAGCGAGGCTCTAGGGCAAGTGTGTCAAACTCGAAGGCTAACACGGGCCAAATAAACACGGTGGAAGTGTCTGTGGGGCCGAAAAAAAACAAAAGCTTCAATTTTCATAGAAACGTAGGTTTATTTCGATAGAGACATGCTGAATGCAAAGGGCTGAACTAAATGAGTCATCATTAACATAAAATAATAGAACATTTTAATAAAAATTAATTTTTCTTGAACATTAACTTATCAGACACTGAATAACTGCACAGATTAATACGTGTCATGCAAATAAACCTATTTTTCTTGTTCTCCGAAAGCGAAACATTTTCTTTTTTTTTTCTTTAAATATTTTATTGATTTTGTACAGAGAGGAAGGGAGAGAGAGAGAGAGAGAGTTAGAAACATCGATGAGAGAGAAACATCGATCAGCTGCCTCCTGCACACTCCCTACTGGGGATGTGCCCGCAACCAAGGTACATGCCCTTGACCGGAATCGAACCTGGGACCCTTCAGTCCACAGGCCGACACTTTATCCACTGAGCCAAACCGGTTAGGGCGCGAAACATTTTCTGTTGCACATACTAAATATGTCAGTACAAGACTAATGACGTGGCAGTTGGCTGTTAGAATATTTGCTGCTGGTATTAGTGGAGAGAAATGGTGCGCCTGCGCATAAGGCGTAAGGGAAATGAATGCAACACGATTATAGTCATTAGTCATTAGCAAACGTTGTAGTTCGTTGTTAATAATTACGTGTAACAGGATATTGTAAAAATTAAGTTACGAAATTTTTATTAAAACGTTTATTACATACCGTTATATTGGCTGGGCCGCAAAAATATTCGTTTCAGGCCGTGAGTTTGACATGCTTGCTCTAGGGCCCAAGGTTTGGTTCAAGTCACTCCCACAGGCTGGGTGACCTTGAGTGGTTCCCCTTCCTTCCTAGGGCTGAGGGTGTAGGAGATGTGGACAGATCATGAGTTGGAAACTAGACAGAGGTCTCAAGCCTCAGGTAAAGGAGAGAACCTGCCTGGTCAGGACTAAGGGACATCAGGGAGTCTTTGCCCCATATAAGGGGGAGTAGATTTAAATGAGCTCCAACTAGCTAGCTTGGTGGAATGCCGACTCAGCATAGCCAATTCCTAGGATTTTTTTCAGAAGCTGGAGATCTAGAAATATTGAAGTGTTCAATAACAAAATGCTGCTGGTCCTACACCGCACCGGGATTTTCATGAAATATATTGTGTAAATATACATCACCTTTTTAAAATCTGAACATTTCTGAATTTCAAAGCACATGTGGCCCTAGAGGCTCTAGAATTGTGGGCCTGGGTCATTGAGTCATCCTGCTTTGCGATATGGAGTGTTTTCAATGCTCCATAGTTACGCACTCCTCAGGAAATTCAATGTCTACAAACGTGTAAAAAGCCCTCAGGTACAGTGTTTCACATATTGTGGGTCATAAAAATAACTCACTGGGCAATGATCATATTTTTTAATGAAGTAAAAAGCAACTATGTAAGATTAAGTATTATCTCATGAAACTTTTGTTATGTGTGAATGAGCAGTCATGATATCCTATATAATAAAGAGGTAATGTGCAAATTGACCATCACTCCAACACACATGTGGACACAAGATGGCCTGCAGGGAAGGGCAGTTGGGAGGGACCAGGCCGGCAGGGGATGGCAGTTGGGGCTGACCGGGCTGGCAGGGGAGGACAGTTGGGGGGGACCCTGGCCTGTCGGGGAGGGCAGTTAGTGGCAATTGGGCTGGCAGGGGAGCAGTTAGGTGTCAATTAGGCTGGCAGGCAGAAGCGGTTAGGGGCAATCAGGCAGGCAGGCAGGCGAGTGGTGGGAGCCGGCAGTCCTCGATTGTGAGAGGGATGTCCTACTGCCCATTTTCGGACATCCCTCGAGGGGTCCCAGATTGGAGAGGGTGCAGGCTGGGCTGAGGGATACACACACCATCACCCCCACACACACACACACGAATTTCGTTCCCCGGGCCTCTAATATATTATATATATTGTCTTTGTGGGTCATGGTTAAAAAAGGAAGTCGAAGAACTCTTGCCACTATAGAAATAGCAACAGTTTGGAGACCAACACAGTTGGACTCAAATCCTAGGGATGACATAGTATAACCCGAAATCTCAGAAGCATTGTCCCAAGGGTTCTATTAGAGACATGTGTACTCTGTGAACAGACGTCCTGTGCTGGGCTAGGACACAGCAGTGCCCAAGACAGCAGGTCCGAAATGTGTATTCATTAATTGTGATTAGTGCGAAGAATGGCTGTGAAGTTGCTTTGTAGATTTTGAAGCGTAGTGAAGCTTGGGGCTGGGGTAGTTTCAATAAATAACAATTGTTGTGATTCCTGCAGGGAGACTCATGTTCTGACTCATCCTACTCCTGGACATTTTGGGGGCTCATCCAACATGGCCATGAAGTCAGTCCTAGAAGGAAGGAAGACTGTCTCCCCGTTTCCTTATCCTTCCTGCGGCCCTGCCAGCTGGGAACATGGAGGGGAAGAAGGGGGAGCTTAAACTAGGACTCGGGCTGCTGGGCCTGGTCGGCTATTACTGAGGTGAGTGGAGAGTCCCGCCATCCCAACAGATCATCCCCAAAGGCTGCACAGGGGGCCTGTCTTTGTCCAGGCTCACTGTCCTATGGTGGCCCCAAGCGATCTTAAAGGAAAGCTCTCATGTTCTTTCTCTCCTGCTTAGTACCCTTCCAGGAATCCTTATTGCTAATGGGATAAAATCCAGTTTTCTCAGCGCATTCCTGCATGGTCTGGGTCCTGCCTCCATCTATGGTCTCTTCTCTTCCCTTTACTCACACATGGGACACTCCCTTCTTGAATCTGTTACACTATGCTTCCCAGCTCCCAGTCTAGTTTCCAACTCACGATCTGTCCACATCTCATACACCCTCACTCCTGGGAAGGAAGGGGAACCACTCAAGGTCACCCAGCCTGTGGGAGTGACTTGAGTCAAACAAGTGACTTGAACCAAACCTTGGGCCCTAGAGCAAGCATGTCAAACTTGTGGCCCGCAATGAATATCTTTGCAGCCCAGCCAATACAACGGTATATAAGAAACATTTTAATAAATATTTTGTAACTTAATTTTTACAATATTCTGTTACACATAATTATTTTTTTAATATATGTTTTATTGATTTTTTACAGCGAGGAAGGGAGAGGGATAGAGAGTTAGAAACATCAATGAGAGAGAAGCATCGATCAGCTGCCGCCTGCACATCTCCTACTGGGGATGTGCCTGCAGCCAAGGTACATGCCCTTGACTGGAATTGAACCTGGGACCCTTCAGTCCCCAGGCCGACGCTCTATCCAGTGAACCAAACTGGCTAGGGCATACACATAATTATTAATAACGAACTACAATGTTTGCTAATGACTGATTAGTATAACTGTGTTGCATTCATTTCCCTTACGCGCCTTACGCACAGGGTAGAATACCCTGCCTCCCATCTCTAGCTGGTAAGTCACACCACCTTTAAGACAGCTCAATTCCCCCACCTTCCCAGAGTTCTTCCTTGCTCTGGTCTCCCATAGCACTGCCTGCTACCTCCACTGTATAATAAACGCACCTGGATGTAGTTGTCCCTGCCCATGTCTGTCAGCCCTGCCAGACTGTCACTGCCCTTTGTCGATTCCTTCCTGTGCTCTAGGAACTGTGCATGAGCTCCCTAGCAGCATCTCAAGTCACTTCCCAGAGCGGCCCTATAAGATGGGGCAGGAATCGGGGCTCTAAAAAGGGCATGGGTCTTAACTGCCCAGAGTTACCCACAGAGGAAGATAGTAGGGCCAAGCCTCAGACCCAAACTAAAGACTCAGGTTTCATTCTTACCTGAAATGTATCCGTGTGTGTATTGATGGGGGTCTGGAAAGAACACACCAGACAGCCACGGGTTCACCTGGAGGTAGGGTGCCGGGGAAGGCTGTCATTTTTTATCATCAGTACTTCTCCAGGACACCTATTTTTTTTTAATATATTTTATTGATTTTTTACAGAGAGGAAGGGAGAGGGATAGAGAGCTAGAAACATCAATGAGAGAGAAACATCGATCAGCTGCCTCCTGCGCACCCACTACTGGGGATGTGCCCGCATCCAAAGTACATGCCCTTGGCCAGAATCGAACCTGGGACCATTCAGTCCACAGGCCGATGCTCTATCCACTGAGCCAAACCGGTCAGGGCAAGGACGTGTATTTTTATTCCAAGTACCTATTCACTGGGAACTTTTAAAATTAAGAAAGATGACATCACTAAAAGTGGCACACAGGCACTTCGGGCTGTCATGCACCACCTGTGAGGGCTCTTCCTCCACAAAGTTGTACCTAATCTAATCAGCTGCTGCTCTACTGACTAGTTTCCAGGAAATGTATCAGGCAGAGGTGCAGTTAAATGACACCAAGAGGAAGCACCATATCCAGATGTTGCACCCTAAATCGGGAGCATAGAATAAAAAGGGCAGAGCTGTACAGGTATAGATTAAAGACCTTCTGAAGCATGTCACTCTAATACAGGGCATAGGCCTCCTTGGTTTTTGCTTCAAACAAGCCAACTACAAAAACATACCATTGAACCCTGGTGTGGCTCAGTTGGATGAGCATCGTCCCATACACCTAAAGGTCGCTGGTTTGATTCCAGATCAGGGCACATGCACGGGTTGTAGACTCTATCTCTAGTGAGGGGGAGGGGACATGCAGAAGGCAGCCAATCAGTGATTCTCTCTTATCATTGATGCTTCGATCTCCCTCTCTCTTCCTCTCTGGAATATATATATATTTTTAAAATTGAATCAATAACAAAAAGATAAGCTGCTATTTTAATTATAAGCAAATCTTGGTTAAAAGCATCTTAAAATCGACAGGGTGTTAATTTTCATGACATATGACATACTGACCAGAAATGTTGTCCATTAAATCCATAGTCCATTAATTAAATCGAGAGTTGACTGTACAGACTTTGAATATGATATATGTATGCAGTGAGTAAGGGGTTCTATTATTAATACTGAAGTATTCACAGGAGAAATCAGGTATCACCTGGGATTCACTTTGAAATATTTTAGCCCCCACAAAAATAAAGAAAGAAAAGTGGGGAAAGAGGTTTAGTGAACAAAACAGACATGTTAATAAGTTGGGGATTGAAGCTGGGTGATGGATATGTGGTGGTATGTTGCATGCATGTCTCTACGTGGGTGTATGTTTGAAAGTTTCCATAATAAAACTTAAAATCTTTAACAAAAAATAATTGAAAGTCAGAAATAAATGGATTTTAGGATTAGGCAGACCTGATTGGGTTTAAGTCCTGCCTGTGTCCCTTCTCCAAGACTCCCTACAAAATATGGGGATGTCTAGTCGCCGGTCTGAAGGTTCTCACAAGACGATTCTTGTCAAAGACCTGGCACATTGAGGGTGGGATGCATTGAGTGAGCCCTTGGGCTCCTCCCCGACCCCAGCCCCAGAGTCACTGACAGTGTGTTGTGTTTCAGTAACTTGCAACCCTCAAGGACGTGGCCATGGACTTCACTTTGGAGGGCTGGGAGCAGCTGGGGCTGGACCAGGGGGACCTGTTCTGGGACACGGCACTGGACAACTACCAGAATCTCTTCTTGCTGAGTAAGTATGCACCCTGGCCCTGCTTGGTGATCACCCGTGGCTCCCCGTCACCCACAGGATGAACTCCCAGCTCTTAAACACCTCAGAACCAGGGTGCTGCAGCTCAGCAGTGCTCAGCTGGCTGATTCTCTCCCTCCCCCCCCCCGCCCGCCCCAGGGGACATTGGCAATGCCTGGCCACCTCTTTGATCGTCACCACTTAGTGGGGGTGGGAGTGCTTCTTGCATCTAGTGGGTAGAGCCCAGAGAAGCTGCCAGACATCCTAGGATGCAAGGACAACCCCCACAACCAAGGATTACCTGACCCCAAATGTCAGTAGTGGCAAGGTTGACAAGCCCTGATCCAACCCCTGCCTACTGCTGCAGCAGCATTTTCCTCTTTGTCATCCTGGAGTGATTCCTCGTGCTGACTCTGTAGGGTCTTCACATCTGCTCTCCCCTCTGCCTGGCAGACTCTTGTCCCTTCCTTGACTTGGGGCTTCCCTAAGGCTGAAATTGTGACTCCACTAGCCTCCCTCTCTCCTGCTTAGCTAGTCACTGCTCCTTCATGTTCTGACTGCTCCCATTATGATCTGTCTCCTGCCAGATGGGAGCTTCCTGAGGGCACCTGTGCTGTTCACTGGTGTACCCCAACATTTGTAACAAACAATACCTGCTGTGGGGACTCAGTAAACAATTCCTAAATTAAAAAATGAATGGTGGGAAATGCTGTCAGGAGCCAGGTTCTGTGCTGGGTGAGCTCTTAGAACTTTCTCTTTCTACCCTCCTGTCACCCCATGAGAAGTGTGTCCATATTTTGTTGAGCATCTTAAACAGCTTCAAAGAGGGGAAGTCATTTTGCAGTTCTGTTCAGGTTCCCAGGATCACCACCTGCTTTGGTGGTTTACTAAGAAGACGTGTAGGACTTGGCCTATAGCTGTGCTCATCCCATGATCCATCACAGTGAAAGGACACACAGTACAGTTAGCAAAGGGGAAAGGTGCGTGGTGTGCATCTAGGGGAGACTAGCGCCAACATCCAGAGCCCTGTCCCCGTGGAGTTGCACGGGACATGCTTAATTCCCCCAGGAACGAGGTGTAATAGCACCTGTGAAATGTTGTCGACCAGAGACGCTCTAACTAGCAACTCCGCACCAAGGGTTTTTATTCAGGGCTTGTTATGTAGACACACTCTGCTTGCAATGTACCAACAGCCCAGACACTCCGCAGGAAAGCAGGTGTTCAGCAGAGCAGTTTGTGCACAGGGAGGCCCCCCTGCCTGGTTAGAGAATGCCGGACCCTCCCGAAATCCAGTTTCCCAGACACCAGCCAAGGGCAGCCTTGTGAGCAGGCCATTCCAGCGGGCTGGCTCTGTGAGCCCTTTTCACCTGGGCTCTGACCACCAGCAGTGCACAGAAAGCAAATGGCACGGCTGGTTGGGACCTGTGCAGCTCCAGGGCCAGGGCACCCCGGCTCCCTATCATCCGGATCAACTCATTTCCCCTTTCCTAGTTTCTCAGTTCTTTCTTTTCCAAAAACAGAAGAATTTATCCCAAAAGACGAAGAAAAGAAAAAACTATATACCAGAACTACCATATATTTGATGTAGTTTTATCACATTGAGACAGGTTTCCTCCAAACTGTACTCAATGTGTGCCATAGAAGCAGCTTAGAAAGGTCTGATCTCAGTGTCTTCAGTTTTTAAACTCCAGCCCGCAGTAGAAATGTATGTCCTTTGTTTCCCCTGCACATCTGTGTGTGTATATGAGGAGGGTATTGGTTTCCTATGGCTGCTTCTACAAATTCCACAAATGTAGTGGCTTAAAACAGTACATTTATTCTTATAGGTCTGCAGATCTGAAGTTCAAAATAAGTCTGAGTGAGCTAAAATCGAGGTGTTGGCAAGGCTGGCTTCAGGGGAGAATCTGTTTCCTTGCCTCTTTTCAGCTTCTAGCAGCCTCCTGCATTGCTTGGCTCATGGCCCCTTTCTTCACCTTCAAAGCCACCAGTGGCCTTTCCTCCACTGTAGCACATATGCCTGGATTGTAACTGCTCCCTTCCTTGCAGAAGTTTGGGGAGGGTGGTGTGCAGGGCTGCTGGAGCTCTAGAACCTGAACATTATCTTATCACAGGGCTTACCCCACAGAGGCCTGGGGCAATGTGTGGTCCACAGGTGAATGAGTGAATTATAAATCGTTGAATAAGTATGGGCCTGTCCACCTGGCAAGCTCAACTCATCCCTTGAGCTGTTCCACGTCCTGTGTCTGTAGCCCCAGCTGTCATAGCTCTGATCATCCCGGATTGTGACTGTGTGGGTCCTCTCCCACTGGAGCAGGAACCCTGCAGGGCAGGTACCTCAGAGTCGCCCAGTGCAGCATCTGGCCCCCAGGGCTGTGTGCTAGATAAAGCATGGAACCGTCGGGAGAGCCAGAAGGTTGCCGCTGAGCGGCTGGGTGGCCCTCCACATCTTGGTTGACGGCAATGCTGTTCTCTCTCCTTGCAGACCCCCTGAGACCCAATCAGACCGCCTGTCCAGATGGTGGGGAAGAGCTGGAGATCCTGGAGAGAGGAAGTCCAGAAGTGACAGGCCCTGGTGAGTGGGTGGGGAGGGGCCACTGGCACCTGGTGTGAGGATGGTGGGGTCCTGTGGCATGGCCCTCTGTCCTCAGATGGAGTATGTCTACCTAACCATCGGGACCCCCAGCTTCTGGGCTTCAATTTTCCACATGCTGGCTTATGTCTCCCTGTCCCACCCAGGATCAGGACACTCTGCATGCCCTCCTTCTCTCTGTTTACCTCAGCATTCAGCACTTGGCTGTCCTGGTGCCTTTTCTCTGTTCCCTCCTTGATCCTTCCAGACTCAGCAGAGGTCGGTCTTCTGTTCCCCAAGTTGGTCTCCATTTTCCTGCCTCATGCCCCCTAAGTACTGTGGACACCCTGGTCTACCTGTTTCAACCTCTTTGTATAGGCCCAGCCCTCTTTCCTGGCCTACAGAGAACAGCAGATGGCCACAAGCCTGGGCATTTACTCTGCCCTCTCCCGAGCCACAATTCTCCCAGGAGGATCAGGTTAAGCAGTGAAGATTCCCCAGTGTGATGCTGGTCAAGATGTCCCCAGTGGGAGAAAGAAGAGGCAGGGGCCTTGCCTGGGCATGAGAGGCTTTTCTCGTGGTTCGCCCTGATCCAGAAACCATGGAGAGGTGTCTGCACAGCTTGTCAGCGTGCAGCTCCATTCTTGGCTCACCTCGAAGCTTGTGAGTGTCTTCACATAGGTGACCCAGGCACAGATTCCTGCTCTCTCGGATTTCTGTTTCTGCCACCTCAACACAAGGCTGTTTCCAAGCATGTGGAGCCACACCTTTATTAACGTGTAAATACCTCTGTGGAAACAGTCATATGGCATTGTTACCCTGTAGATCTTGTCCCTTGATCAGTGTACTTCTCTAGGAAGTAGGCCCCAGCTGATGAGGGTGATGGTGGAGAGGATCTGCTGAGAGGCCTCTCTCCTTCCCTGTGGAGGCCCTGCAGCCCAGCTCCCTTCTTAATTGTCTTGTATATGGGTTTCCTTTTCCTGTGGTGCAGGTTACAGCTGGATCACTCTGCTAGCCTTTTCTCCTTCATCCCGTGATGGACACAGGCTTGACTCAGGATCCATCCCCTGTTCTCTCTCTCGTCTGTATCCTCACCCTGCAGCACCTGTCTTTTCACCCTAGGGAACAGGAGACATTTTACACTCTCTCTCTTTCAGACACAGCTGAGGCCAAGATTTCCCCTTTGCCACAGGAATCCTCGGAAGGACTCTCTCAGGAGATATTGGAGACGTTTTCCAAGGATGGCCTCTGGAACTCTAACTTCGGAGAAGCTTACATGGGCGAGAGCTGGTTAGATAGTTTGCTAGGAGATCCGGAAAGTCTTATGAGCTCTGACATTGTCACCAACAAGGAAAGCTTCACAGAGGGCAAGAGTCATGAACTCAAGAGTGGCCTCGATCCTGAGTCCTTCCTTTTCACAGGAGAAGATTCCCTGACCCATGATCTTTCCGAGAAGAGCCTGACGCCAGCTAAGTCTCAGGAATGTAGGGATGACATTGGCTCCCACTCAGACCAGAGTCAGCAGGATACTGTCCAGGAAGGGATGAAACCATATAAATGTAGCGAATGTGAGAAGAGCTTCAGCCGGAGTTGCCATCTTATCCAGCACTGGATTACTCATATAGCAGAGAAACCAACTGGGAATCAAGAGTATGAGGATAGTTTCAACCAGATTTCTTGCCTTCCTGTCTATCCAACAACTCACACAGGTTCCAGATCCTATGTGTGTAACAAATGTGGGGAAACTTTTAGTCACAACACACACCTTCTGTGGCATCAAAAAATTCACACTGGAGAAAAAACACATAAGAGTCAAGACAGTGACCATTCATCAGGTCTTGTCTCGAAGCCTGTTGAAAAGCAGAAAACCCACAGAATTCGTAAATCCTACAAGTGTAATGAGTGTGGCAAGGGTTTCAGCCGAAACTTTCATCTTATTCAGCATCAGAAGACCCACACTCGGAAACGCTATGAATGTGTCAAATGCAAGGCCACCTTCAACTTTAACAAATACCTCCTCCAACATCAGAAAATTCATGCTTCAAAAACTACCTCTAAGTGTCAGGAATGTGGGAAGACCTTCAGGCATAGCTCATCCCTCATTAAACACCAGTCTATTCACTCGGGAGAAAAGCCTTATAAGTGTGATGAGTGTGGGAAATGCTTCAGCCATATCTTCACCCTAAAGAGCCACCAGAGGGTTCACAGTGGAGAGAAGCCTTACAAATGTAGTCAATGTGAGAAAGCCTTCTACCGGAACACTCATCTGAATGAACATCAGAGGATTCACACGGGCTACAGGCCCCACAAATGTAACAAATGTGTCAAAAGTTTCAGCCGGCCTTCCCACCTGATTCGACACCAGTCTGTTCATGCCACAGAAAAGCCCTACAGCTGTGCTGAATGCAGTGCGACCTTCAGCCATAATGAACGTCTTATCCAACACCAAAAAATGCATGCTGTGGAAACCCGCTATGAATGTCAGGAGTGTGGTGAGCGCTTCATTTGTAGTTCGACCCTAACTTGCCACCAGAGCATTCACACCCAAGAAAAACAAGGACTTGATGGGAGCGGAAAGATCTTGAATCAGAACCTAAAACAGAAAGATCATCCAAGGAGTGGTGAGAAGCACTTTAAATGTAACACATGCGAGAAAACGTTCAGCTGCAGCAAATACCTGACTCAGCATGAGAAACTTCACACCAGGGAAAAGCCCTTTGAGTGTAAACAGTGTGGGAAAGCCTTTGTCCAAAGTGCACAGCTCATTCGCCACGAGATCATACACTCTGGAGTGAGGCCATATAAATGTGAGGAGTGTGGGAAGGCCTTCATCCGAATCACCTCCCTTACCAAACATCAGTACATCCACAAGAGTGAGCACCCCTTTAAGTGTAATGAATGTGGAAAGACCTTCAGCCAAAGTGTACATCTCTCAGAACATCAGTTAACTCACACTGCAGAGAAACCCTTTAAATGTAATCAGTGTGACAGAGTCTTTGTGCACAGTAAGTACCTTACTCAGCACCAGAAAAGTCATGCCAAGAAGAGATCGTTTGAATGTAATGAATGTGGAAAAACATTTAGACACAACTGGCGCCTTTCTAAGCATCAGAGAGTTCACACGGGTGAGAATCCATATAAATGTGGTGAATGTGGGAAAACCTTCAGCCTGAACGCTGTACTTGTTCGACACCAGAGAGTTCACACCAGAGAAAAGCCTTATGTTTGTCAGGTATGTGGGAAAGCCTTCAGCCAGAACTCGTGCCTTTCTATTCACCAGAGAGTTCACACTGGAGAGAAGCCCTATATGTGTGCTGAATGTGGGAAAGCCTTTTCCCAGAAAGCAAATCTGAGGCAGCACGAGAAAATTCACACTGGGGAGAAGCCTTACATCTGTGATGTATGTGGGAAAACCTTTAGCCTCAGTTCCCATCTCAGTCAGCACCAGGTAATTCACACTCAAGAAAAACAATATCAGTGTCAACACTGTCAAAAAGCCTTTGGCTGCTACTTAGGTCTCCGCCGACACCAGCGAGTTCACACTCAAAAGTAACAAGTAGCAATACTACCTGTAGTCACCAGGTGACAGCAAGACCTGACATCTGAGCCCTAAAATTGAAACCATCACATTGTAAGTCTATCCTTTCCCTAACCCTACCCCCAAAATATATATAGATCTCTATATTAATATTGATTAGAAAGTTTGCACACAAGTTTCATTAAAACAATGAAAACACAAAAGAAGCTGTGTAGTATCCAAATTCAGAGGTAGACTCTAGCCAGTCTCCTGAGTTAAATTTCACCTCTGCCATCTGCTGCCTAACTGACCTAGAGAGAGTCATGAAACTTCTCAGGGCCTCAGTATCCTCATCTGTAAAACAACTAAAATAATAGTTACCTACCTCAGAGAGATGTTGTGAGGATAAATTGATGTAAAGCCCTGAGAACTGAGTGCCCAGCACATAATAAGTACTCACCAAGCATGAGCTATACATATATACAACATAAACGTACTCTTATATTACGAGGAAGAGAAGAATTAGAAGCTCTATTTACTGCAGTTAATGTTCTTACTAATATTATGGGTGGCTTTAATTTTTAAAGTTTTTCTCCAAAATGCCCCTGGCTTAATTTGGTTCTCCAATCCCAACACATTAATCTTTAAAAAAAAAAATTTAACCTTTTCCTTCCCTCCATCTTTTTTTCTGTCCCAGTATTTTCTTAATGAGCCCACAGAAAGTCAAGAAGAGCACTTAAACTAATATCAGATACCTAAAACTTTTCACTCATAACCTCCTGTACCTCTCATTCAAAAGGACCCTTTCCACATACACATGCCATCTTATTTTTTCTAATCCTCACCCAGGGACATGTTTTTATAGATTTTTAGAGAGAGGGGGGCATCAATTGGCTGCCTCCTGCACGTGCCCTGGCCAGGGATCAAACCTACAACCTAGGTATGTGCCCTGACTGGGAATTGAACCCACAACCTTTTGGTGTACAGGATGACACTCCAACCAATTGAGTCACTCAGCCAGGACCGCATGCCACCTTTTCCCATAATCTTCCCGTGTTTAAAGTTATTGGTTATACAATGAACCCATTTTTTGTTATTGGAGTTAATGATCCTGGAACAGCTGGATTCAGTTAGGAAAGCTGCACTGGATATTGTCACAGTTAACACTATACAGAAGATGTGCTTGGTGGTGAAAATTGTGATGGACTGCTAGAATGTTCTTCATGCACCATTTGTCCAAGCTGGTACTCACCAGGCACTTTCCCAGGCGCCAGGACAGGGAATGTCAGTATGCTAAGCCCTGCCTTTGCCTCGAAGCTTCTGGAATCCAAGGGAAATTGGTGGTCCCATTTTCACAGAGGAGTGCTGTTCGTTGACAAGTGACATCTTAAAATGCCACATTCCCTCATGTCACAGCAAGTCCTGGGCCGCTGAGGATTGTTAGAGAGCCCAGTAAGGAAAAGAGCTTTCCTGTTGGAGCCATCACGTCAGCAGCTCACCTTGGCCAGGCCTGTGCTACAACAGAGACTCACCTCATGGAACCACACAACCTGCTCCCTATAGATGGCATCTCCGCTCTGGGCTTCTGAGCCCTGCCCACTAAGTGAACAAGTCACATGTTTGCTGCAGCACAATCTTAGGAAGACATTGGACACTTAATATTTTTCATATTCTTGGTGCTAAAAAAGTGTAAGAGTATGTTCCCTGTGGCTCTTGGACTTTTTAAACCTTGCACCTTTGATTTCTGCTGGTTGGTTTTGTTCTTGAAACTGGGAACTTACTGGTTTAATAATGGCCAAAATGTCCCACTCCCTATGCATGGTCCCTGCCCTTGAAACTGTCTAGTCTGGGTGACAGGCTGGTGGGGTACACAAAGTGTTGTGGGATGGGGCAGAGGCGGGAACTCAAAATGAGTTGTGAAGTGTATTCAATGAAGAGTTTTAATACTAAACACGCAGGTCAGAGACCCTGTGGAAAATCACCAGCTTGGGGGGGTGGGAAGGGTAGTTTTTATAACTAATGACCTGAGTTGCTTTGAGCCAGGGTAGAAATGCCCTCCTTGTGTGTATGTTGGTTCTCTGATTAAAGTTTTGAGTCTGAAAGTGTTGGTTCCTTCTCTCAGCCTGGTGCCACACGCCTGGCTAGATTCTGGGCATACAATGTCCTTACCTACCAGTTTTCATGTTCTACTGGGGGAGGGCTTGCAGCGGTGAAAACCACCCCTTAAGAGGGCAGTTAAGTCTGTTTTTCCTAAAGTTGGAGGGAAGCACACAATTTCAGCCAGCCCAGATACATCAACAAACAACACTTCCATTCTAGTGCAATCCTAACTAATCAAGGAGAAAGCATGGTATTTTCTCTACAAAGACATAGCAGGCCTCAGGCTCAGGCAATAATTTTAACTAGAATTTAATATTTTGTTGGTATTTAATTCTTGCCACTTTTTCTCCTTTACTGACGAGATACTAACTAGCTTCCTGCTCATGGTAGTGACAAAGTCGTCTTTATTTTTATTTTTTTAAAATACATTTTTTTGATTTCAGAGAGGAAGAGATAGGGAGAAGAAGATAGAAACATCAATGGTGAGAGAGCATCGTTGATTGGCTGCCTCCTGCACACACCACACTGGGGATCGAGCCCCCATATGCCCTGACCAGGAATCGACCTGACCTGGTTCATAGCTCAACACTCAACCACTGAGCCATGCCAGCCAGGCGAAAGTCCTCTTTAAAAATAAGTTGGTTTGGGGTGGGGTGGGAAGTAAACTGAATTAAAGGGAAAATATGTGGTACACATGTACAGCAAAAATTGAGAGTGAAATATAATTGCATGAGGCTTGGGGAACGCCGAGTTAACTAAGCCTAGCGCTGCTAAGCCAATAGACTTATTAGCTGAGTTAGATTATGCTGTGGCAATGCAGTTAAGTGTCAGATCTCAGTAGTTGAACAGAACAGAGGTTTATTTTGCTCACATGTCCACTGTGGATTGCCAGGAGCTGGGGACGGGGACAGGGTGGCTGGCTGGCTTTGTCCTATACACTTGAGAGACCAGGCTACATCCCCTTTAGTTGGAATGTGTGGCCTTGGTTACCACAGCAGGAAAAGGAGAGGGCTGGAAGCTCCAAGAGTTTATCACTGCCTTGGCCTGAAAGTGCTACAGGTCATTTCCATTCATGTCCCCTTGGTCACGGCCCAACTGCAGAAGGGCCGGGAAATGCCATCAGAGAACCTGGTGTTGGTCTCTGTAATGTCTAGCACCTTAAGCACTTTCTTGAAGACTTTCTGATGATATTGGGAAGGGCTCATGATACAGGAAGTGATAAAAGCAAATCAGCCTTTAGATTTCCTAATAAAAATAATTCTGTGATTACAGGGGGAAAAGGTGAAGGAAATTCACCAAAATCTGAAAATGAGAAACAGATAGTTTCTGAGTTAAATAAGTTTCTTCCTCATACTTTGCAGTATTTCCCAGACTTTCCATATTGTCAGGTACCATTAAAAATTTTTCTTCTAATCCTCATTCGATATTTTTCCATTGATTTTTTTTTTTTTAGAGAGAGTGGAAGCAAGAGTGAAAGACAGAAATATCAATGTGAGAGAAACACATCGATTGGTTGCCTCCTGCACACTCCCTGACCAGGGCCCGGGCCGGGGAGGATCCTGCAACCGAGGTACGTGCCTTAGACTGAAATCAAATCTGGGACCCTTTGGTCCTCAGGCTGACGCTCTATCCACTGAGCCAAACTGGCTAGGGCTCACCAGGTACCATTTTTTAAAAATATATATTTTATTGATTTTTTTACAGAGAGGAAGGGAGAGGGATAGAGAGTTAGAAACATTGATGAGAGAGAAACATCGACCAACTGCCTCCTGCACACCCCCTACTGGGGATGTGCCCACCACCAAGGTACATGCCCTTGACCGGAATGGAACCTGGGACCCTTGAGTCCGCAGGCTGACGCTCTATCCACTGAGCCGAACCGGTTAGCGCACCGGGTACCGTTTTTAATTACAGAAGTAATTCATGGTTACATTCTTTTAAACAGATTCCAGCAATATAAAAATATTCAGAGCAACACAAAAGTCCCTCTTACTATCTGCAGCAGCACCTGAAGGTAACCCCTTGCACCTAGTAGTTTAAGTAATGGGTTGCTATAGAAGAATGGTATCTAATGCATTTCTAAAGCCTTTGGAAAACGCCAGTCCCAGCCTGGGTTTTTCTGGATTACTGTGCCCTAGAATCATGGTTTTCAAGTTTTCTGCTCACAGCTCTTTTATTAGTGTTTCCTAAACTGTGGGAAACACCAATATTTTGGGAGATGAACACTATATTAAATATCAATTCACACACTAAGAGGGTCACTTCCTTTTCAAGTCTGTTGATGCTTCTGGTAACCTAATGTTGAGAAGATGCTGTTTTAAGAAATCATACCTAAGCACTCACTGCATAAAACAGATAAAAGTGGACACACTCTGGCCAAAGAGTTAAGGAAACTTGCCCCTGTGGACCTGTTGTTCAGGGTGAAAGGCTAGAGCCAGGATTTGAACCTAGGCAGTCAGGCTCCAGCCTTGGGACCCCTAACCACTATGCTAAAGGCAAAGACTCTGATATGTTCTTTACCAGCTGGTGACTCTGGGCGGCACCATCACCCCTGTGAGCCGGTTTCTTCATGTATATATAAGCAGTAACAATACAGTAGTAGGTACTCCACTGGGAGGTTGTGAGGATTTGACACGCGGGAAATGTTTAGAACTGTGCCTGGCACCCAAGATGCATAAATATGAGCTGTTTCAACATCATGAATACTTTTTAGTAATTATTAGCACTAAAACTAACGCCGTATTTTTTTCAACACTACCTTTGGCTCATAATAAACACCCGACACATTACTATAAATGTTAATCATTTATTTTGTAAGATTAGCATTTATAAACTTGGAACCCTAGCGCTTAACCTCGACCTTAGCACGATACCTAGCAAGAAGTAATTGCAAGTGTATTACTAATAAAAACAACAACAATAATAAATTTATACTAAACATGTTCTTCCTTAGAAAGTGAGCTCAGAAAACACAACCTGAGAGACTAAGCTGGCTCCACACCATTCAATTCAGCCAGTGAGTCCCAAAACTAAGAGCAAGAGAATATCAGTGACCAACCTAGACGAAACGCCCCAATCCTGTGGTCCAACCTAATGCGGACATCACGCCGGGGGCCTTATTCGTTTATCAAACTCACACCACCACCCTACAACGGGGTGTCAGGCAGCCCTGAGAAGCCTTTGCGTCTCCATGGCTTGGAGACCCAGCCACAGCCGGCCGGTTCTTTCACTGCCCCTCTTTCCACTGCCAGGCTCCCGGGTCTGCTGTCCTCTCCTGCCCGTGACTCTGGCCCTGGCTCACTCTGGAAGCTTATTCCAAGGCGCATTCCAAACCTCGTGGCCTCCAGTGTCTCCTCGCCAGTCTGACCCCCACACAGCCCCAGAGTACACCCCGCCCTTCCCCTGGCTCAGCGTCCCCCTCAGGAAAGTGTGGGGGCACTTGAAGCCCGAGAGCCCTGGTCTGCCTCGCTTTACTGCCTCCCTGGTGTGAGCTCTCTCCCCCGTCTGTACACAGCCACATCCCGCTGTGTCCTCACATACTTTTTCCTCGGTGCATGAGCACGTGGAGAGAGAGAGAGAGAGTGAGTGAGTTCTGGTGTCTCTTCTTGTCCTTATAAGGACACTTTATTTTTTTTTTAATATTTTTTATTGATGTCAGAGGGGAAGAGAGAGGGATAGAGAGAGAGAAACATCAATGATGAGAGAGAACCACTGATCGGCTGCCTCCTGCATGCCCCACACTGGGGACCAAGCCCGCAGCCCAAGCATGTGCCCTTGACCAGAATCGAACCTGGGACCCTTCAGTCCGCAGGCCAACGCTCTACCCATGGAGCCAAACCAGCCAGGGCATAAGGACGCTTTAAATGTTACTTTCAATTAGTTGATATTCAATCTTTTGTATTCATTTCAGGTGTACAGCATCGTGGTTAGACACTCATATACTTTGCCAATAGCCAAATGGTCCCCCCAACAGAGCAAGAGCAAGCCATTCCTATAGGACAGTCTCTCCGGGTCCCACCCGGCCCAGCGGGAGTTGGCAACGCCCTCCCTGGGTTCCCACAGGAACGTCCCAGAAGCCTAGCGCTGCTATTATCATAATTGCTGAGTTGTAATTATTTGGTGACCGTCTGTCTCTCCCGCTGCGTACTCTGCGGTCTCTGGGAGCTCTCATCGCCCTATAATTGATGCAGAGTGTAATTATACCTCTACTGCATCGTGCATTGCTCCAGGAGATTCCCAAGGAGGTAAGGGAGTGGCCGGACCAGTAGCGTGAAGACATTTTAAAACCCAAAGCAACACTGCCACCCAGGCAAAAAGCACTTCGGGAACACCGGTTTGCAACCCCCCAGCCAGCACCTTTCCTGGAGTGAGCTTCGGTGTGGCCACCAACTCAAGTGAGTGTGAACTAGAGCATCATGGACGCGTCTACAGTTGCCCTGCCCCAGCCAGTCGCAGGTAACGGTGACCTCATGTTGGCCCTTTACTGGAATCAAACCCGGGACCCTTTGGTCCGCAGGCCGATGCTCTGTCCACTGAGCCAAACCGGCTAAGGCTCTTTTAAAAATATATATATTCTTATTGATTTCAGAGAGGGAGAGAGAGATAGAAGCATTAATGATGAGAGAGAATCATTGATGGGCTGCCTCCTGCACGCCCCCTACTGGGGATTGAGTCTGCAACCTGGGCATGTGCCCTTGACTGGAATTGAACCTGGGACCCTTCAATCCACAGACCGGCACTCGATCCACTGAGCCAAACCAGCCGGGGCTGAGGTTTCAATTCAGACCCTGGGAAAATCAGCAGCCTCCTTTCCCTGGCATTTATGGGGTATGGGTCAATGCCGTCTTTGTAGCAACACCCCACCCCCCCCCCCCCCACACACACACACACAATACTCTCCTCATTTACTCAACAAATATTTGCTGAGTGCCTGCTTTGGGCCAAACACTGCTGGGCAC